CTTTAAAATAATAAAAAAATAAAAAAATTTATATTAAAGTATTAAAAATTAATTTGAGTTAAAATAATTTAATTAAAAATATCTTATATATGTTAAATATAATTTTAATACAAAAAAAATAAAAATTATAAGGAAAAATAATTTGCATTAAGTATATATATTTTTGATGATAAAAAATAACTAAGAGAAATTCAGTTATACATAATGGAAAAAAAAACTAATTATATAATAAATAATAAAATAAATAAATGATAAAAAAAAAAAAAAAAAATATAAAAAATAGAAGAAAAATAATAAAAATAAAGTTTTAAATAGAAGAATTATAAAAATAAAAGAAAAATAAAAAGTATATTAAATAATTAAATATTAATATTGCATATATTGAAATATATTTTAGTATTTATATATATATATATTTATATATTTATTATTTATATATTTATATATTTATATATTTATATATTTTGTTTTTAATCTTATCTAAAATTATTTTTTTAATTTATAATTTTATAATTGTTAAATATAATAATTTTTATTAAATAATAATTTTATTTTATTTTTATAATTATTATTTATATAAAAATTTTAAAATATAATAATTTATATATGAAATATATAGTTATTTCAAATAAATTTTAAAAATTAAATAAATATTTTATTATATATAATATTTTTATATAAAAAATATTATTAAAATATTAATGAAAATATTTATTATAAATTTATTATAAATTAATAAAATATTATTTTTTTAATATTTTTTATATCAAACAATAGTTTAAATTTTATTCAAATAATGTTCACTTAAGGAAAATATTTTAATTAAATTCTTTATCTTAAAATTTTAATTTTTATTAACAAATAAAATTAAAAAAATCTATCTACATTATTTAATTATGAAAACAAAACAAAAATTAAACTTTTCATTTAAAATAATTTTCATATAAAAACATAAATAACAATTTATTTATTTAAAGGAATTATAACAATAATATATTAAATATAGAAAAAAAAAACTTTTTTTCAAATTAAATTTATATGAATTTTTTCGATAATTAAGAAGAATAAATATTTCTCTAAGTTCTATAAAATCCTGAAATATATAGAAAAAATGCAAAATTATATAAACAATCCATATTATAAGGTGATCGAAATATAATAAATTTAATAACCTAAGTAATATAAAAAGCAATATAAAAGTAAACATAAAAACCAATGATATAATTGAATGGTATTCGTTTAATTAAAGAAACATTATAAAACACAGACATAAATACATATTATATGGAAAACATATAATAGAAAATATTACCATAAATGATAGAAATAGCGAAATTCGATTATAAAAACGAATAAGAAGACCGAGGAAAATTTTACTTTAGTTAAAACCCTTCAGAAGATTTAGCAATATTGGGAAATAGCTTCTTTAGATTGGTAATTGAATGTATATTTGTTTGGGGTTCGTGGTTTTAAGAAAGTATATTTGAATTAGAATTGAATAATTTGTTAAAAATGGGCGTTTCTTTTCCAAAATAACTGCATTATTTTAAAAAACCTGTATAGAAATATATAATTAACGAAGAATCTAATAATTTAATCGAAAATATATAAAATCTAAAAGTAAATAATGAAACAATTATTGTGTTTTGTAAACAGCTGAGCTAAGTTTTCGAAATTTTTATATATTTAATGGAAAAATATAAAGATAATGTATTATGCAAAGAAATATTAGATTAAAATTAATAAAATAAAATTATTTTAGAGATTTTTTAATACAATGAAGACTTTGGAAAAATATAAGAAAAAATTTAAAAAGAAATTACAAATTAAACAATGTTTTTGAAACATTTAAAGAATATTTTAGATATTTTAAAAAAATTTTGTTTAAATTTTATTAAGGAAAGTTAATAATTCAAATAAAATTTAGTTACTTTTTAAGAATTTAAGAATAAATAAATTGTTTAAATATAAACTTTGATTAATTTTAAAATTAAATTAGAAGAAAATAGCAATAGTAATAACAACAGTGATTAATCTCTTATTTCATAGTATTTAACCAATAATAAACTAAAAGGAAAATCTTTGTTTAATTTTAATAAATATTATATACCTTTTAGAGACAAATCGAATTATAGAAAATTATCGAATTCACCTTTGTAGGGAAGAGGATAATAAAAAAACGTAGGAAACAAAGAAAATAGTAATTAATAAATTGATATTATTATTAGACTTAAAAAATAAATTGAAGATGTTTAAAAAGAAATTAATGATTATAAATGTAAATACAAAGATGCGGAATATAGAATAAATCTTATTTAAAAAAATGGAAATAAGTATAAAAGAATTAAATAAAAATAACTTTATATTTGAATTATATTAATATATAATATTAAATATATATTATTATTTTAAATAATAATTTATAAAAAATTTTCAAAATATTCAATATTTATTATTTATATTTTATTATATAGAATATATATATATATATACATTAATTTTCTTTTTTTAAAAATAATTAAATTGAATATAAATGTTAATAGAGAGGGAATAAACTGAACTAGAGTTTATAAGATATATCATTTTTAAAAATTTAATTTATTTAAATATTTTATATTTTTAATATATAACGCATACTATATTTTACTAAATATACTGTTAAATCAATAATCTTATTTATTTGAAAAAACATCATAATTATCAATGTAATCTAATTATAATAAAAAATTAAAAAAATATATTATTAGTGATAAATTAAAAATCTCAACTTTTTATAAAAATAGATAAATCTGAAATAAAAAATAAATTTCAAATATTTAGATATTTATAAGAAGTTTTAAGTAATTAAAAAATATAATTCTAGTAGAGTAACAAGCTATATTAATAGATTTCTCAATTTCCTATAAATTAAATGCCATATCTAGATTAAAGAAGAATAATTTAATTTAATTTGTATTGTATATTTTACTGAAATGTAACAAGTTAAGTATTAACCAATACCACTACAATAATCAAAATTGAAAATCAGAAAAATGTATACTATATATAAAAATACTAGAATTTATAAAATAAATATAAAATATTTTTAAATGTCTAATTTAATAAATTAAATATAAAAAATATAAAAAAATTAATTTTTTATATAAAAATATTAAAATTTATATTTATAAAAGACAAAGATAAAATTAATATGAATAAAAATATATTTTAAAAAATATAAATAATATAAATTTCATTTAATTAATTTAATTATTAACTCATTTATAAAAATTATATATATAAATTTTAAAAAGTTTATTTTTGATAAAAAATAAATATAATTTAAATTTTTAAAAATTTAATATATATTCAATTTGATATTTACAAATTATATGAAGATGATTAATATTTATTATATTATAAAAATTTTATTATATTAATTGTGATAAATACTTATTTTATAAATAAAGTAAATATAATATACTTTAAAAAAAAAATTATTCATTAATATTATTATATGTAAATAAAAAAAAATACTTAATATTATTTATTTAATAATTTAAAAATTAATATGAATATAAATATATATATATATATATATTAATTATATATATATATATATATATTATATTATATTTATAATTTATATTTATTTCTCTTTAATTACTTTAATTTTTAAATTAATAATTTGTTTCTTTTTTTTTATTTTTATATTTTTATTCTTTTTTATTTTATTTTCATATTTTTTAAATTTTCAATAATTTATTTTAATATTGATATTTTTTAATCTTTTATATTTTTGTTAATTTAATTATTATTTTAAACTTTTATTTATTTTTTATTTTACGAATAATAAATACTTATTATAAAAATATTTAATAAAATATTAAAATAATTTTACATATCTCAAAAATTTAATTGCTTTAAAATTTATATATATTTGTTTTTTATTTTTAATTTTATTAAAACTATATATATAATTTGTTATATATCATGAATATTATTATAAATATTATTTTTTTATAATATTTTATATTTTTAATATTTATAATTTTATTAATTAATATTATTATTTTTGTATTATATTCATTTGTACAAAATAGATATTCTTTAAGAAATAAGACATAATAAATTTATTTTTTATTAGAAAATTAATGGCAATTTCACAATAAATAATCAACAAAATTTAATCACATTTTTTATCATTTTTATTAACGTAAAAAATAAAATTTAAATCATATATAAGTATAATAAAAAGATATGAGAAGAATCAATAAAAAATTTATGTAGTGCAAGCTTTACAATTATTAAATTCATCGAAATAAACATATCTTGTAGATTTTCATAATTTCCTTGAGAAGACTCCTTAAACGATTGTAACTTTAACAATCTAAAATTACAATTATCTTCATGAATATTTTGAAAAATCAACAAACTAATTTTTATAAGAAATTAATTTAAGTAAAAATTAAAATTATCCTTATTATTATTTTTCATTTTACAATTATAAATATGAAACTCCTCTGCGTTCTTTAAGATCTTCCTAATTAAATCAATTATTAAAAATATAAGGTCTTATAATATCCACAACTGAGACAAATCCTGAATTATTGAAAGGTCATTTTACATGCTAAAAATGTATGTAAGAGCAAATAATAGAATAGTAATTTGCATTTTCGAATCCAAAAATATGTTTTAATTGCAAAACTAAAACAAAATTCGAATTTGATCCTAAAAAGAGTTTTTTTTCAAACTTTTAGAAATTAAGAATACAATAAAAAAGTAAAAGTACACTTCCTTCAAGATTTGAAGTAATTCTAAGGCATGAATAAACTGAAAAAGGCCTTCCAGGTGATACATGCATTTTTACAGGCACATTAATAGTAGTGCCAAAGTCTGATGAATAATAAGAATATAAATATGTATTTCTATGCCATTATTTATAAAAAAAAAAGGAATAAGAGATAGTTAGCAGAGTTCTATTTTCTCATGAATAAAATTTTATTATAAATCTTAAAAAAATGGCAGGAAATAAGTCTTTTCTTGAAGTTCTTTCCAATTCTTTAATTCCTGAGATTTTCGGACATAAAGAAATTAAAAAAGGATTATTAATATAGTTAGTTGGTGGAATACAAAAAAAGACTGAAGAAAATAGCCTTAATCTTCGTGGAGATATACATATTTGTATTGTTGGTGAACCTTCTACAGGCAAATCTTAATTTTTGAAATTTATTTCCGAAAATTTCCCAAGATGTACATATACCAACGCAAAAACTTCCACAAAAGCAGGTCTTACGGTTAGTGTTGGTGTCGATAAAGATAATAAAAATCATTTCTTGTAAGCTGGAGCACTTCTTTTAGCTGACGGTGGTATTTGTTGTATTGATGAATTCAATAAGATGCGCAAAAAAGATCTTTCTGGCATACATGAAGTGATGGAGTAATAAAGTATTTCGATTTCAAAATGCGGATTTGTATGTAGTTTAGGAACGAAAGTAAGTATATTAGCTGCTTGTACACCTTTTTTTGGAAGATTTATTGAAAGTTAAAGCTTTTGGAAGAATTTAGATATAGATTAAGTGATTCTTTCACGATTTGATTTAGTTTTTGTGATTTTGGATAAAAATTAAGAAAAGTATGACTACTTGATTGCAGAACATATAGTAAAAAAGAAAAAATAAACAGTTTTTTCAATTGAAGATATTTAATAATTTTTGTTTTTTGCAAAAGAAATTTAACCTATTTTAACAAAAGATGCTGCAATAGAATTATAAAAGCAATATGTTAATTTAAGAAAAAATAATGATATTTGGCAGTTTTTTAGATTTACTGTTAGATAATTAGAAAGTACTATCAGAATTAGTGAAGCTTTGGCTAAAATTGAACTTTAATAAGAAATTTAGGTTAAACATGTTAAAGAAGCTGTTAGAATGGTTTCTTTATGTTTTGTTGAGGCTTTTAATGAAGAAAAAGAATTTTAATTTGAAATCGTTAATATTTATACTACATATAGTTTTTTTTATTAATTTTATTTTTTAATAGAAAAAAGATAAGTTTAATATTACTTAAAAATAATTTTTTTTTGTAAAACAATTAATTTTAGTAAATATAAGAGATTTAGAAAAACGTAGAATTTTTATTCTTTTATTATATTTTTTTTTTAAAAAAAAAATTAAAATTAAAGAAAATAAGGAAAAAATAACATAAGATAATATAATTTAAAATGTTATTTAAAGTCTAAAAGATGAATAAATACTTAAGAATGAATAATAAGTTAAAAAAATGAGCAAAATAATTAAATATATACTTAAAAGATTAATAGAAATTGAAAATATAATTATTAAAAAAGACAAAAATCTAGAAATACATTGTAATTATAATGAATGAAAAAAATATGTTTTTTATGCAAAAACAAATTTAATATATAAATTAAATTCTTCAACAAAAAAATAAATCAAAATATTAAGCAAATTTGAATTCCTAAATAACTTTTTTCCCAAAAACTTTTATTTTATCATCTAACAAAGGTCTTCTTTTTTCCAAATTAATTCTAATAAACTTTACCAAATTTATTTTTAGATTTTCTATGAATCTTAGTCCCCAACTTTAGAGTTCTTTTTCATAAATTTCATTTAAATAGTCAAAATTAAATTATAAATTTCCTTCTTAATCTACAAAAAATGCTACTTCTACCCAATCTAGTATTTTTAAAAGTTGAACACTTTTATTTTTATAATAAAAATCATCTTATTTTTACATTAATTCTTATTATAAATTTATATAAAATTCTTTTTTTTTCTTTGATTTTTCCATAAATAATTCCTTTTATAATTATGAGCATTTTTCTTCTAATTTTTTAATATTTTTTAATAATTAATCGTATTTTATACTCACTTTTTTTACAAAATTATGTATATTTTCTATTGCTTGTTCCTTTTATTTCCCTTTTTCATTATTCTAATTTTCTTAAAACCCTAGTTAAAGGTCCAGAGTACTTATTTAATCCTAAATAGTATCTATTTTTGATGAATGAATACTAAAATAATTATTCATAATCTACATTTATTCTTAATATTCTCTTAATAGCATAGAAAGCTTAAGATTTTTTTATTTTTCTTAAAAAAGTTAATTTTTAAGCTTTTCTTATATTTTTTCATAATTTTCTATTTTTTCTAAAAAAAGACTTTGTTGAAATTTTTAATTTTAAACAATTAAATTATGCATTTCCTTAAAAATAATATATAATATTTTTAAACAAAAAAATTTAAAATATAAGTTAAAAAAAATACTTTGTCGATGATTTTTTACATAAAAAAGGTTAAATTTTGGTAAAAAAAATAACTTTCTTCAATTAAAAACTACAAAAATTTATTTTTAAAAGAAATATTATCATCATCAATTAAGTTATTTTTAAAAGAAAATTCTTAAAATCTTTAAAGAATTTCGTTATTATCATCTTAAAAACTTTCAATACTAGTATTAGAATTTGTAAAAAGCATTTTATTTTTTTTAATAATTTCTTCTTAATAATTTTTTTTTTCAAGCCCAGTATCAATTTTCGAATCGACTTAATAAAATTGAAGTCTTTTCTAATTTAAAGTTTCTTTGTTTTCTAAAGAAATCCTGCTTTTATATTTTTTCTTTTTGTCTGTCTTTACGCTACTATTTTAATTCGAATTTGTAAAATAAGAATCTTTATATGATATTGTATGCCTTTCAATTTTTTTTTTTTCTGTTTTATTTACTGGTGTATCTTCAAAATCAAATTCAGGAATGTTTTATAATTAAATATTTTAACGTAAAGTAATATCTTGTATTGTACTACTTCTTGTAAATATTAATGAGGCTGGCTTTTTAGTTATTTGTGTGTATTTTTATAAATGTTAACGCAGTGCTTGGTTTTCTTTGTCAAGAATTTAGAGCTTATTTTTCTATATTGGTGACTATTATAGTCTTTTTTCTTAGGGTAGTTATAGTATGGATGAATTTGTCCATGATTCGTTGCTTTAATTCATTTTTTTATTTTTATATTTAATATTTTTTTTATTTATTTAAATTTTGAATTTTGAATTTTTCTTTTATTATTAACGGAGAGTTAATTAATTATTTTTTTAATGAAATATCTTAAACTATCAATTTATTATTATTTTATACAGTTTTTATTAGTTTTTTAACATCTATATTTTAATTAAAACTAATCCTTAAATATGTATTTATAATATATATTTAAATTTATATGATTTTTTATTTAAATAAAAATAATAATTATTTTTATATTTTTATTTTTTTTAAATAACTATCTTTATCCATTTTTTCTAACTTTTTTTATTGACTAAGTTTTTTCAAAAATTACAGAAAATATAAAAATAACAGTTTGAACAAACAAAAGATCATATGATCATATGATTTTTAAATACATAAACATGTTTTTAATTAGTTATATATATTTATTTTATTTTTTAAATAATAATCTTCAATTTAGCTCACAAAAATAAAAGTTACGTAATATTTTTAAAAAGGTATTGATATAAGTTTTATCATTAATATCATTGAAGAGGCATATTTTTGCTTATCAAATATTAGATACTCTCGATATTCTGAATTTAATTTATTTACCGTATTGTGAGATTTAAATAATTGTTAAACGAAAATATGTCATATTAATTTTATTAATGACATAAATTAGATCAATTTTTTTTTTAAAAAAAAAACAATTACTCTATTTTACTAGAGTATGCGAAAATTGATTACAGATATAAAACATTAAAAATAATTATTTATGAAATAAGTATATAAAAAAGAAAAAATATTATAACTCAGAAATATAAATAAATCTAAAAAAAATAATATATAATTACTAATATATAAAATAAACATAAAAAAACGTAATATCACAAAACAAAATGATTAATGAATGTGAAATAAAATTCGAAGTTGCATGTCGAACTAATTTTGGTGATTGTATATTTATAGCAGGAAACATTAAAGAGTTAGGAAATTGGGATGCTAGCAAAGGAATTTAATTAAAAACTGATGATGATAATTATCCGAATTGGTACACAGAAAATCATTTAAGCCTTCCCAAAGGAACCAAGTTTTAATTTAAATTTGTAAAAATACAATCCAATGGATATCATGATTGGGAATATTTTCCAAATAATTTAAATCGAAAATACCGTTCCAGATATTAATTAGTGACTTTAAAAGCAGTATGGAATGATTTTTCAGGAAAAGAAGTTCCAAATAAAAAGTTTAAATCGTCTGATTTTTTTGCTAATAATGATTTATAAGTACATAAATTTAAAATCTCTGGTCTTTTTTGTCCTTATTAATAAGCAGGTTCCTCTTCCTCTTAGAATTCAAGCGAAAACATGATTGAAGATCCAAAAAGAAGTTTTCATTCACTTCCAAAAAAAGAGAAAAAAAGACTTCCTTCCAAAAGTTCCTCGCATACAAGTGAATAAGAAGAAGAAAATGTTCCAAAATTTAATACAAATAGAATTTTACCTAAAAAAGGAACGAATTTTGATTCAAATTTCAACGAAAAAATATAAATCCAACAACAAAATTAAAACAATAATACTTTATCAAATATAACAGATGATTACACAAGTCAATAAAGCGAATCTTCAATAGAAAAAAGGTATACTAATCCCTAAAATAATATATAATAAAAACACTAATAATAAGAAACTATTTTCGCAGAAAAACTATTTTAATAATCAGGACATACTTTGTAATTGCTTTTATAAGAAAGATTAAAAAATAATCTAGAAAAGAATATTTTTACATAAAAATATTCATTTATTACTACTATTAATGACATTAATTATGAAGCCTCTGAAGAGTTTCTTGTAAATATGTCTGATAAGGATGAAGTATGTATTTGCACGCTATTTCTGCCTATTATATTGCATTATGATGCTTAAAGTGATACATTTACAGAGGAGTTTCAAGAAAATTCTTTATTCTTTCATTTTATAAATTCCTACTAATCAATAAGATGGGTTGGCATACTTTTAAATTACACACAAATAACATAAAAATTATAAGAAAGAATAACCACTTATTTAATATAAAAGTATAGATTTTACCCTATATTTATCGAAAATTCAGTTCTGGATTCTTTTTTAAACAATCTTTGTGCAGGACTTTATGATTAAGTTATGACTAACAGCTTTGAAATAACAAACTAGAAATATTTGGAATATAATAATGCTGTTTTAGAATAATTTAAACTTATTTGTTTTAGATTTGCGTAATAAATAAGTCTTATAATAGATGAAGATTCAAATATTCTAATAGCCGATTATCGAATAATATTCACTATTATATATATTTCATAATTTAAAGCTAAAAAGTTGAATATTTTATATTTTCATAATCATTAATTTCCTGATTTAGAAAAATTACATCTTCTTCCGTTTGGAGAAAATATTATAAATGCAATTTTGTGTACAAATTTAGTTTCTTTTATGAATTTTGAATCTGCTTACAATTTTTTACATTATGTTTGGATTAAACTTAAGATTTCTTATGAAAGTGTAAGAGGTAATCTTAGAATTATTTATATGGGAAACCAGATTATTGTTAGTATTAGAAACCCAGGCATTAATACTAAGGTCTGTGCTTAAATTATTGAAAATACAAACTTTTTAGCTTAAAGAAATATACTTAAAGATTCTATAATTAAAAAATAGAATGTATTTATAGGAATGGACAGTTTTTCAGTTAATAATAAAATTTAACTTAAGCTTAAAATCTTTGAAAAACTAATTGAAAATCATCCTGAATTAAATTTTTAGCTTATTTAAGTCGTTCTTCCTGAATAAAATAATTATCATTCATTAGATCCTTATCAAAACTAAGAGCTATTGCAAAGTATAAATAATTAAGCAATAGAAATAAACTCAAAGTACCCAAATAGTATCACATTAATATATGAAAATATGCCTTTGAAATAGAGATTATTGTATTTAAGTTTAGGAAATATATTTTTAAGAACAAGTGTATTATAAGAAAACGAAATGTACGGTATGGAATATATATATTGTAATTAAATAAATAAAGGCGTGTGCTTAATGAACACATATGGATCTTATATGTATAAATAAATGAAAAGTTGTATATTATTTAATCCATATTCATATTATGAATTCGAAAAGAATGTACTTATGATATAAAATAAAATGACTTCAGAATTGAAAAATCTCATAACCTAAAAAGACTTTAATCTATTTTAAAATTATAATACTAATTAATGGATTGAAAAAAATATTGCTGAACTCAAAAAAAATGCAAAGTTTATGGCTTTAGCAAATATGACAGGATTTAATAAAGGAATTAACTTCAAAAAAGTGGCCCATTAATTAAATTTTAGGCAATTAAATATCAAAGAATTGTATGAATAATATAAAAAAACTTAAAAAAGACTGATTTTGTTAGGATACGTAGGTACTTTAGTTCCTATTGATAAATATATGTATATTTAAGCTGAAGAGCATTAAGTCAGAAGACACCATAAATAACCTTCTGAAACTGTTTTGAATACTTTAAAAAAATTATGTGCAGATTAAAGAAATATGGTTTATATTATAACTGATCTTTCTATTGATTTTATTGATGAATGGTTTCAGGATGTAAAAGGTTTAGGACTTATTTGTGAAAATGGTTGTATGCATAAGGTTATTTAAGAAAACGGTAAAGAATAAACAGAATGGACAAAACTTATTTAATTAGACATGTCCTGGAAGGAATAAATTTATAGATTAATGTAAAGTTATACCTAGAGAACTTAAGGATCTTCTATAGAATTAAAAGAATTTTCAGTTACTTGGAAGTTTAATTAAGTTTGTGTGGATTTTGGAATTAAATAGGCAGAGTAAATGACTTAATAAATTAAACAATTTACTCAAAAAACTAAATATTTAGAAGTTTATTAAAATAGTGAATGTGTTGAAGTTAGACCAGTTAATATGAATAAAGTAAAAAATAAATATTAATATTCTACTTTATTAATTTATTTATATTAGGGTATTATTGTAGAAGTACTCATACAAAAAAAATTTATCGAATGTTCTAAAATTGATTTTATACTTATTTTAGGATCTTCCATGAGTGATGAAGATATGTTTGTAGCATGTTAGCTTATGTTGAAAAATTAATAGCATTATTTCTATTATGAAAAAATAAGACCATTTTATGTTACTATTGGAGTAAAACCTTCTAATGCTAATTATTTTATCTTATATGAAGAAGTTGAAAAAATGCTAACTTAATTAGTTAATAGAAGTCTTTGAGTGTATTAAATATAATATTTATAAATAATATTATTCTTTAAATAATAATCTTTTAAAAGCAATATTTATATATAAAACGATATATTTAAATAAAATTAAAAAAAAGAAAATTATTATAAAAAACAAAAAATAACTATTATAAAATTTTATAATTAATAATAAAAAAATAATAATGTAAAAACATCCCAATACGAATTCTCTTATTTCTAAAAACCGTAGAGATGGCATAGACCACTCATTAACATCATTTAAACATTTAAAAGACTTAGCTCCTTATGGAATATTTGGTAATAATAAAAAATAAAAAAAAATACAATTAAAAAAAAAGATTTTCAGTTTTTTACAAAGAATTCGTCATAACAAGAAAAAGGAATAACTGTAAAATATGAAGAAATAAATAAAATTCTTTAGAATATTGAGAATAATAAATAAAACTAGTAATTGCTAGAACCATAATATAAATACGATGAAACTTAGAATGCAAAAATAAAATTACAAGAGATAAAACATCGAATAAGTATAATTAATCCAACATACCCTATACATGAATTGAACACTCTTTTTTAAGGAAAAACAGAAATTTCAGCAAAAGATATTTACGAATTACTAAAAGATAATGAAATAGAAGATTTTGATCCTATTTAGCAAGCTTTAGAACTTATATTGGGATAAAATAACGAATTAGATATTGAAAAAACAAATAATTTAATGTAATAATTAGGTTATGGAGATTTAGATAAAAAAGACAAAGAAATTCTTAAAGAATGCCTAGATGTAGATAAAGATGGAAGAATAACTGAAAAAGATTTTAAAGAAATAATTGATTATATAAATAAAAAAAAATATTTATGAAATATTTTTCTTCATAAATTAGTTATTATATTATCTATTATTTTATTATTATTCTATATTTTTTTCATATAATTTGATGTATATTTCAATAAAATATTTTTCTCTTCATCTATTTTTTTTATTATTTGTACTAACTTATCTTCTTTTAGTTATAAATCTTATATTTTCTCCCCTTAACTTTATGCTAGATTACATTTTTAAACAATTTAATCTAATAAAATCCATACAAAATCGATTCCTTAAGTAAATTTAATTTAAATACCTTAAGAAATTTTCTTTTTTTATTTTTAGATTTTACTTAAAATTTTTAAAATATCTTAGAAATTATTATCTTTTTGGTTTTTTTCAAAAAAAAATTATAAAAGGCTTTATTAGAGTAAATATTTTAATTTTCTTTCATTTACTTTTAGTAAATAGAATTTATTTAGTATAATATTAATACAGTTTGAATTCAAAAAAGGTTTATTTAAATATAAAATTTTGAATTTAAAAATTCCAATATAAAGCAATTCTAAGCATTCTAAATAAGTTAATCTCTAAAAGTAAAAATTTAATTCTTAAAATGAAAAACCATTGCTTAAATTAAACATAAAATAAATAATTTTTTGAAAAAAATTCTCTTTTATATTTTTAAAAAATCCAGAAAAAACTTCTTTAAGATAACTTTCATTAATTTAATATTATTTTAAATAAAAAACTTCAAAAACATCGCTCATATCAAGTTTTTCTACAGACTTTTCAATATAATAATGACTTATAATAAATAAAATATTCAGCATTAATTCTGCATATTTTTTTTAACGAAAAATTACACTTAGTTCTTGTATATCAATAAGCTTTTTTTATAGAAAAAGTGTATTTTCGTTAATATTATTATTATTGCCTTAAAAAATCTACTGAATATTTTAAAATACAGGCATTTTTTAGATTTCTTCAAAACTTTTTTTTACTTTTACACCATATAAACCCAAAAAAATATTATAAAAAAATAAATTTAAAGTTTTCTCATCTTCAAATTGTGCCTTATCAAATGCATTTAGAAGACTTTTAAACATTAAATATTCTATTTTATAATAGACATTTTTCAAAAAAGTATATATATATTGTTTTTACCTGTATTAGGATTATTGATATTGTGATATTCATGAAAAAGCCTAAAAGGTTCTTTTTCCTTTTTATAAAGATCGATTAAACATAAATTTTCCCATTTTTATTTAACTTTTAAATTTTATTAAATAATAAGGAAGTTTTATTAAACATCAAAAAAATGATTTTTTAAAAATTACTCATAAATAATATAATTTTTTATGTTAAAATCATCACTAAAAATAATTTCTTCTAATTCTTTTTTTCCTTTTTCTAGATCTATTATATATGAATCTATTCCATCCTCTTTAAAAATGAATCCTTTGTAAATATTATCTTATATTTTATATGGAGAATCCCATTTTATTATTCTATTAGGATTTTTTTCATTAAAAAAGTAAGTAAATGTAGGCTAACCATTTTAATTTTTTTAATTTTGAGAATTGAATTTTTAAAGAGATTGCTTAAAGTATAAATAAAGTGTTATTTTTTCATTTTATTATACAAAAACATAATAATTTTTCCATTAAAAAATATTTACTATATCTTTTAAATTCAAATAAAAGCAATATTTGAATTATTAAAGATTACCTGGACGAGCTACTTTTAAAGTTTTTTCATTTTGATTTAAGAAAAAAAGTTTTATTGCCTACTCTTCCTCACTTATATATACTTAACAGTTATTATAAGAAAGCTTTTATATCATTTTTTGTTGAAACTCAAAGTTTTTATAACTATTAAGAATATTTTTGTTTTCTTTTTTTTCCTTATTGCTTATTGCGTGCTAATTACTATAGTTTTGCTACAAATTTAATTATTGATAATATAAATAATTATATTTAAATAGTAAATAAGTTTTTGTTTAAGTTTCAATTAAAAAGCTATCATTTATTTCACATTATATGTTTAAAGCTAAATACTTTTAAATTTTTTATTTAAATAAAAATATGAAAATAGTTTTTTACTATTTAAAAATTAATTAAACACATGAATATTAGAATTCCTTTTTATGAACAAAAAATAGCAAAGTATCTATTGTTATTTGTTTACCACAAATGCATTCCAATAAAAATTTTTAAAGAATCATTTTAAATTTAAAAACCTTTCATTTCTTTTAAATCAAAAGTATTCTTTATTTAATTAACTTCCTAATTTATTCTTATTATTTTTACTTCTTTTAATATATTTATCTATTACCATTTTTATCCCAATTCTTCTATATTATAATTTATTTATTATATTTAAGTGTTCCATTCTTTTTTAAGTTATTCATTACAAAATATTCCGAAAGGAATTCTAATTAATATGCCATTATATATTAATATATATGCAAAATAACCAATATCATCTATTTTTAAATCACATACTACTAATTCTTCAAACCAATCTAATTTTTCTAACTGCCTTTTGTTTGGAAATAATTTATTCTCGATACTTAAAAAAAGTCGTTTCTTTGATGAAAATAAACAATATTTGAAGGTTATAGATTATCCAATACAATATTTTTCTATTTATATATTTGGATTTGTTTTTACATAGTTTAGTACTTAGATCATTTAAAAAAAATAAAAAAAAATAATTAATTAAGCTTTTTTTGTTTTTTATAAATATCTTTTTTATATAAAAATTAAAATATTAATTTTTTTAAAAAAAAAATTTAAAAAACTCAATAAAAAAATAAAGTCAATTACACATTATCTTTTAGTAAACTCATTCAAAAAAAAAAGGCGTTATCCATTTTTTATTGTTGATTGAATTTTTAAATATTAAAAATAAAAAAAGTATTTTTAATATTTTAATACTTTTATTAATTCCCATTAACATTGATATTTCTGCAGTCAGACCAAATATAAATTTCAAAGCCATGCTTTATATAATATTAATATTCCCCTTTCCCCTTTTCCCCCTTTCCCCCTTTCCCCCTTTCCCCCTTTATATTTCTTTAGGCATGTCAAGAGCAAATTCTATTTCCATGCATATTATTATTATTTATTCAGTATTTATAATTGTAATTTATTAATTATCATTATATTATAAAAAAAAAATATATATTTTCTTCTATTTTATCCATACTTTTATCAATTTTTATAATATTATTCATAGTTAGACTATATCCATCCCAAAGTTCATTTTACATATATCTCTAATAATCTGAAACATCAAAATGAGTATAAATACCATATTCATTAACATTATCATTCATTAATCTATTATACCTCATAATAATTTTTATGTGCATGATAAAATTAAAAATATACCTGAGCTTTATTATCTTTATATTATCCTTTATATTTAGGAGCAAAAGGACCATATTTAAACACTGAAACCCACTGAAACCTTCTTTAAATTGCATCATCTTGATGTTTAAAAATTGTATATCATAATTTAATTTTTGATTATCTATACTTGTTTCTGTATAATTTATATATTTACTAATTTTTATATAATTCATTTATAATTTTTATTTGTAATTTTTTAATTTAGTTTTTTTATTTATCAAAAGATATTATCTCTTTATTTTCATATGTTTATTCTTATATAAAGATTCTAATATAATCTATATTTTTTTTTTTTCCTATTTGTTTATTTCGGACTACTTTATGTATTAACAAGCATAAATATTCGAAATTATTGACCCATATATTACTATTAATATGTTTTAGTTATAAATTTAAAAAAAGAATATTATAAAAATTTCAAATTAATATGGACATTATCAATTAAAAAAAATACAAAATAATTATTATTTCAATTTAAGATTATGACATTGGAATATAATTAAATATAATATTTTCACTCGAAAATTTAAATTTTACATGAAATGTATTTATTATTATTTTTTTTAAAAAAACACACACAAACAAACTTAAATTATTTAAATAATAGTAAAATAACAACTTAAAAATCAAAAAAACTATAATAGTATAAAAAAAGTCTTAGTAGATAAGCATTATCATCTAAAAAGAAAAAGTTTTAAATAATCAAGGCCTTCATATTATTTAAATTAGTTATACCCTTGCAGAACCCTGCATTCTTAAGATTATGTAAGCTCTTTATATTTTTCAAGATCACCAACTCCTTCAATTTATTCATATCGAAATAAAAGTTTAAAATAAGATTAAAATCTAAATATCGTAACTAAAAATAGAAATATTTAAGAAATGAAAATAAAAAAGTTTCGCAGAAAATGTTTTGAAGATAAACATAGTAATTTTCTAATCCTTTTGATTTTTCGAAAAATTTTCTTAGAAAAAAGTTATAATAAAATATGTTCATGTGATGGCTGTTCTAGAGAAGATTTCGATTATAAAAATGTGAAAAAAGAGAAAAGATGAAAAATTAATTATAATAAAAGAGAAAATAAATAAAAAAATATTAATGATAAAATAAATAAAATTATTAACGTGCTGTTTAAACTTAAAAAAATAAATACTTTTACTAGAATTTTTTTTCTTTCTAGAGATATATAATACATATGTATTATTTATTAAAACATTTTCAGGTTTTAGGTTGTTAATTTAATAAACAATAAATTTGTAAAACTTAATTTATGTAATACATGCGATTATAAAGTTATTGTTTTAATCTCATAAAATTAAAAATATTTTATATTTTTAATTAAAAGGAAGGATGCAATAAAAATTATAATTATAAAAAGAAAACTTATTATTATTTTTAGAATTTAAAAAATAATAAAAAATATAAAAGATTAAATTATTAAAATTTATAATATTGACAATAACCTAAAATTAATAATTAATAACAAGAAGAAGACTTTTTTGAATTCGGTTTATTTCATGTGTTTAAAAGCAACAATTATATATATTTTAAATCTATATAAAAAATTATATGAGTTTCCCCCTCTATAGTGAATTTAAAATGTATTTACCATTATATGATTCTGTATACCATGAGAAAATTATGTTATTTAAATAGAAGAAATTTTATAGAAATAAAAATTAATAATTATATTTGTTTTCTAATTTCTTTTTTATTTATAAATTAAGTTTAAAAATGAAAAAAAAATTATATTTTTTTACCCATATTTTCTATTATTTAATGTTTTTATTCTTTTTTTTAAAAAAAATTAAATTTTGTTTAAATTTTTTTTTTAAAAAAAGGGAAAAACTTTAAAAATTTTTTAAAAATATATAAATATGGTTAAAGAAGAATTAGATCCACATAAACTTGAAGGAACCTTGTTTCTCGACCAATATAAGCTAAAGGAAAAACTAGGAAGTGGTGCATTTGGCATAATATATAAAGTAATAGATATAAAAAAAAATATCGAATATGCCTGTAAATTGGAAAAATACACAACAAAACATCCGTAAATTATTTATGAAGCAAAGCTATATAATTATCTTCATAATAATTCACAAAAGATAATATAAGGTATTCCAAAATGTTATTATTATGATACAATAAGCGAATATAATATAATGATAGTTGATTTATTAGGACAATCATTAGAAACCTTATTTACATAAACTAAAAGGCTTTTTTCATTAAAAACAGTTCTGATGTTGGCGGAGTAAATGTTATAAAGGGTTGAATATTTACATTCAAGAAATTTTTTACATAGAGATATAAAACCAGATAATTTCCTTATGGGAATAGGGAGAAAAGAATCTATTGTTTACATGATTGATTTTGGACTTGCCAAAAGATATTAAAAAGATAATCAACATATTCCCTATAAAGACGGGAAAAACCTCACAGGAACTGCAAGATATGCATCTGTTAATACTCATGTTGGTATTGAATAAGCAAGAAGAGATGATTTAGAAAGTTTAGCATATCTATTTATTTATTTCTTGAAAGGAAGTTTACCTTGGTAAAATATAAGAGCTAAAGATAAGAAAGAAAAATACGAAAAAATTAAAATTAAAAAATAATAGACTAGTGTTGAAGAACTTTGTAAAGGCCTTCCAGATTAATTTACTTAATATTTAAACTATACTAAATCTTTAAGATTTACTGATAAACCTGATTATATAAAATGTAGAAAATTATTTAAAGACTTAATGGATTTAAATGGATTTTCTTATGATTATATTTGGGATTGGAAAATTCAAGATAAATAAAATAAAATTCCTTTAAGAACCAATAATACAAACGATAATGTAAAATATATATTTTATTTAAATTTTAAAATATATAAAAAGGAAATGATTGGAGGCCATATACTTTATAATTTTTAAAAAGATTCAAGCAATTATAATAATTACGTATAAAAAAATAATAAAAATGATTTATATAATAATATAGAAATAGATGGAGGTAACTAAAAATTAAATAAAGTGAATAATAATAGTAATTATAATAACAAAAATATTAATAATAATAATAATAATAATAATAATAATAATAATAATAATAATAATAATAATATTGTAAAAGCTATTTGGAAATAACCTATACAATCTTAATAATAAACATTAACAAAAACATTGTAATTAATAAATAATAATGCAAAAACAAATATAAGTAATATAGTTTATAATACAAGCTATAATTAAAATTATTGAAAAATAAGAAAGAATTTAAATAAAAAAAAATAAAAAATAAATATTCTTATTTTATATAAAATATTAATTTATATATATTATTAATCATTTTTTCTCTTGTTTTTCTTGTTATTCTTTTTATTTTTTAGCTTATTTTTTTGCTAACTTTTCTTTGTCTTTTATTTTCTATATCCCTATTTATATTATACAATGTTTTATATATATTATTATTAAAATAGTGATTTACCTGCTCCTCCTAATTTAACATTTCCAACTAAACAATTGATAATTTCTTATTCAGGTATTCCTTTTATTATTGGTTTTTCTTGATTTATTGCATCTTTTTAGCTTAAAAAGAAATTGATAACAGATTTTCCAGCCTTTCCCTTTTTTAAATTACCAGGAAGTAATTTAATTTTAAACTTACTATTTAAAAGATTAATAGTATTGAAAGGAGCACACATTAATAAACAATTAGAATAAGTATCTTCAGGATAGACAAAAGTGACTAATCTAGAAAGATCCTACAATTCGCTATTAATAATTTCTTCTTGAATATCTTCTTCTACTTTATTTAATTCTGCAGCATTTTTTTCTTTTTCTTCTTCATCTTCTTCATTTTACTCAGAAGAATTGGTATCAATTTCAGCATCTTTTTAATTTTCTTCATCTTATTTTTTGTTTCCTCTTGAACTTAATTATTATTTTCTTATTTATCCTATTTTTGTTCTACATATTCAAGTTTTTTTCTTCTTCTTGAGTATTTTTTTCAATAATTATATCATCTTATTTTTTTTAGATTTCTTCTTAATTTTATTTTGTTTCTTTTTAAAATTTTTTATTTGCTTTCTTCTCAAAAGCTAAATCTTCATTTGGTAAAATATTTTTCATTTTTTAAGCACCAATAAGTTACATTCTAATATCTCTTTCTTCGTCATCTTAATCAGCGTATTTTTCTTTCATTTTTTTTACTTTATTTTTTTTTCCTCTTGGTAAATTTACATTATTTTTATAATCATCTTTATTATCATTTTCATCATCATCTGAAGTTTATTTTTTTTAATTTCCTTTTTATTTTGTCTCTTTTTAATTATTTTACTATTTATCTTTTTGATTTATTTATGATTTATCTTTTTAATTTTTTTATTGTTGTTTTCCTTTTTGATTTTATTATTATTTTTTCTACATTCCTTCTGTAGGCTTTATATTTAAATTAACAATAGTAGTTTCTAATTCTGAAACAAGCAATTAAGAAGTCTCTATTTAAGAAGATTATTCTACTAAAGAAGGTTATTCAGTTAAAGCCGATTCTACCTTAATCTGATTATTTAAATTATCTTTTGAAATTACTTCTTCATTAACTTTTCTTTTTCTATCATTTAAATGTCTTTCAAGTGAATCATCATTTAACTTAAACAAAATAGTACATGCCATTTCCATTCTTGATGGATATACAAAATTCTTTTTTCCCCTTATCATGAAACTTCCTGATGGCAAATACTCTCCAGTTTCCGCCCTTTTACTTACCTAATGACTGTCAACCCACCAAGCGGATGCTATAATTTTAGCCTCCCAAGCTTTTGATCTACAAATAGTAGCTACAGCAGCCTCTTCGATAGTTTATTAAGATATAAAAGAGGAATCTTTATGTGGATTTTTAATAAGTGTAGAGGCAGCACCATGATAATCTGCATGCATATAGATATCACCTTTTTTCATATATTTTTTAACCAAAATTTCATTTTATTAACTATCTCTTCCAGAAATAACTAAATAGTTTTCACTAGTAATAAACCAATAGAATTTTTCAAACCAATATTATTTACGGACGTTTACTAGTTGCATTGTTTTATGTTTTTGGGTTTCAATTTCTTTCAAAGCAGTCTTTTCAGCTTATTTTAAAGCTGTCTTGGTAGCATCTAGTGTCTTTTTTTCTTTTAACACATTCTTACGTTTATTTTCATAATAGTTTCTAGCATTCTAATGTGCGGATTGATAAATATCTACGCTAACAGGAATCAATTCAGACATTTAATCGTCTATAAATCCTAGGTAAATAGATACTTCATTGTTTTCAAAGTCTATTTAATGAATTAAGTTTGCCAAAGGATCTCCTTATTTTTTTCCTTCATTTATCATTTTTATTATTTTATCCCAAGCTAATCCAGATGATTTCATAGTTTTTAAAATCTAGATAAAAGAAATTTAAAATTTAATTATTAAATTTTTTATTTTTATTTACGTTTGTAATAGCTTCAACATCTTGATAATTTTCTTCAATTAACTAAGCTTTAGTTATGAATTCTTCTTGCTCATCTTTTAATTTTTTTATTCGATTTTCTTAATCGGTTTTGATGTTTAGATATTTCTTCCAAGCAATAGATTCAACATCTTCTTTTTACTCTTCTTCTATTTTCTTACTCATTTTTTAAAAGTATTTATTTATGCAATCATTAAAAGATTCCATTTATTCTATTTGCTTTCCTTAATAAGAGTTCAAAATTAAAGGAGAAAACTCAAAATAATTTGCTTTTTCCTTTTCAGATATCACCAAATAACCTTAATGTCCTTTTTTTTAGAATTCAATTATTAGTTCTTTACATTTATTTGCAACTTTCTGAACTTTTTCTATACTTTCTAAACCCACCTTTTCTGTTGGATTATATCCTTCAAGTTAAATTATATGATCAATTACGGGATTATGTAAAGAAGGAACTAATTTAAATACTATTTCTCGCAATTTTAAAGCTTTTTGAGGCATATTAGTCTCTTTTTTGTTTTTTTTTTGTGTTTGTGTTTGCTTTTTCTTTTTTGTATCTTTTTCTTCATCTTCTTCATCTTTATAATACTTTTTTTCCTCATTTTCTCTTATTAAATTTATTATTTTTTCTTCAGCTAAATCGAATTTTTCTAAATATAGGTTTGCTGCATATTCAAAAGGATATTTTTCACCTATGGCAGTTCTTTTTTTAAAAAATATTAAAAAAACCTGCTTTGTGTTATACATTATATTTTTACTTAATAGTTTCATTAAACTAATGTTATCTTATTAAAAGAATAATTTGATAATCTTTATCAGTTAAGATAATATTACCCTTTTTTAATTTATTATTTTATTTTTAAAACAATAAAAAAAATATACGCTAGAATATAATTCTAATATTATATGATTAGTCATTTCTCCACTTCCAAAAGTCAAAACTACAACTCTTTCAACTCCTATTTGCTTAATATCTTCAAGTCTTTTAGAACGAATATATTTTCTGAACTTCATTGTAAAACCTGAAGGCATTTTGCTTTTTTCTTATATGGCATCTGATGTATGAAATCTTATACCTTTTTTTTTAATTTTTTTTATTTTCTATTTAAAAAATATTATAAACCATTTTCAATTAATAGAAATTCCTTTCTTTCGCCTTTAGCGAATTTAAATAAATATGTTTTTTAATTTAAATCATAAAAATTGGATACTCTTAATCCAACTAATTTTTATTTTAGTTCAAAAATTAGAGCAGTTATATCTAAAGAAGTAAAACGTATTTTTATTTTTTCGTTTGACATACTTTTATTTTTTTTAATAATTGTATATTTTTTACTTTTCGTTAAATAATATAATATATACTTTTATATTTATTCGAAATAAAAAAAATATATATAATATAAATAAAAATAGAAAAAGAAAAAGAATTTTTATAATATTTTTTTCAATCCGAATAAAAATCACTACTTGAATGTTATTATTTCTTAAGTTTTTTTTTACGATGTTTTTTTTCTTATCTATAATAATATGAGTCTGAATGATGATTTTTTTTTCTTTTTTTCTTATTTTCTTTACTTTCTGATACACTTGAGTAATCTTTGTCTTTTTTTTTACCAAAATTATCATCTTTTCTATTATATTAAGCATTTTCTGATATCTCACCTTCTTCTCCATCTTTATTAACGGATTATTGATCATCTTATTATTAAAGCTTTTATTCATTGTCTAAAGTTTCAACATATTCTTTAAATATTTCTTCTCTTTCCCATAAAGGAATTTATGAATTAATTTCTTCACCCAACTCATTAGTAATAATTTCTTAAAAATCTTTAAAAAAATTATCTTTATTAAGCTGAGTAAGTGTTTTTAAGAATTTAAGATATTTCCTTTATGATTTTTTGTGTTTTTTCTGATTTTCTTTATCTTTAAGTTTAGCTTTTCGAATAAAATAATGGTAGTAAAAATCTTTCAAATATTTTTCCAAAGCAATAAAAACACTCAAAGACTTCATTTTTTCAATAAAATCATCATAAGTAATATCTGCTACAACTTTCATTTCTGTTTATTTAATATATTATTTTATTTCGGATTTCATATCTCTATGATTTTCAATAAGAATATCTTATTAATCTTCAAAAAGTTCATGAGGACTACTTCCAGATTACGCAAGCATATTTAAAAATGCAGGTTCATCTTTAATTTATTATACGAATTTTTTCCATTTAGTTTTATGATCAATTTCACCTTAAGAAATCTTATTTCTTAGTAATTCTCTGAAATTTTCTCTATTAATTCTTTCTTAATATCTTTTATTTTTTCTTCTTTCTTCATATTCTTATTTTTCTAATTCATACATGTATTCAGAAAAAACATTTATTCTATCCAAATCATGTAATTCTTTATAGTCTTCATCATGTTTGAATTTTTCAACAAAATCTGCCCATCTAAATTGAGTATTAATTTCCCCAATCAACCCTTAGAGTTTTTTTAATAATTTCTCGCCATGAATTTATCTATTTGCATTTTAAATTTCCTTTTCTTATTCAAAAAGCCTATCTAAATAATCTTAAAATATTATTTCTCTTGTTTTTTCTTCTACGGCTTTATATCTAACATCATGTATTAAAGATTAAGCTGTTTTATAATATTTGCATAAAGAATTTAAATTTGAACTTTCTAATAATTAAACAAGATCTTCCTTTGCTTTGTCAGTTTTATTTTATTATTCTTATCTCTCTAATTTTTTTATTTTCTAAACAAAATCTTGATATAATCTCTTTTTTTCACTGATTTATTTTATTAATTTCCATCTTGGATCATTCTATAACATTTTTTATGTCTGATCCCATCTTATACTCGCGTTAATTCGTTTTTCTCTAAGCATTTCTAAGAATTATCTTTGATCGTTTTCCTATAATTTTATAATATTTTAATTTAATTTTATGTATACTATTTTTTTACTTTCTTTTATTCATCAGTCGGACCTTGATTTTCTTCCTCTTCCTCATCTTCTTCATCAATAATTCCTTATTATTCTTTTAATTTACGTTCTTCAGCTTATTTTTATTTTAATACTTTTAATTCGGGAGGCATATTCCATTAAGATTTCTTTGTTTTTTTATTATAATAAAATACTCTTCCATCTGATTTTGTATATTCTTACCAATCAGTTTAGTTTTATTTTTCTTCTAATGTTTTTAAACATTCAGGCTTTTCCCATTAAGACTCTTTTGTTTGCTTATTGTAATAATATTTTGTACCATTAGCTGCCTTTTCGATTGACCAAAATTGGCGCTCATCCGAATATGTAGCGCTTTAAGGTTAATTTACTAATTTATCTATTAAAGATATTGAAGATGAATTTGGTTTATTATTTTAACTCAAAATTTAAAGTGTTTTTTATATTATCTAATTTATCTTTTTTTTTAAAAAATATATCTATATTATTTTAAATATGTCTATAAAATTTAACTTTTTAAATAATAGAAACAAATATAAATTATTTTATTTAATAAATTATTAAAAATAATTATAAAGTTATATGAAAAGCAAGTATGATATATTAAAAAAAATTAACTATTGTATTATATTATTAATAAAATATGAATTTAAAATAAATATATAAAATTACAAAAAATAAGATTATTAATTAATAATACAATTAATAACATATATATATTCTTAAAATTAATTCTTATAAAAAATATATATATATATATATATTTATAATTTATAAAAATATGATAAGCAAAAAATATAATATTTAAAAAGTAAAAGATATTTATGAAAATAAAATATTAAAAAAATACAAAAAAAATATATGATTTTAATAAATAAAAAAACTTGAATAAATTATAAAGTTAAACTATAAAATTAAATAAATAATTATTAAAATGTATGAAATAAATAATTTTATAAAAAAAATAATTAAAATTAAAAATTAAAAATAAAATATTATAAATATATAAATATATAAATATATAAATATATAAATAAATAAATATATAAATATATAAATATATAAATAAATAAATAATTCTATAATTAAAATATATTTTTATAATTTTTATATTTTAAATTAATTTATTTTTAATTATACTTTTATTTATTGTTTCTAATTTTTTAATAATTTTTTTTATTTTTAATAATATTTTTTTTTTTTTTTTTAAATTTTTTTTTACTTTTTAATATTTTTAAATCAAATATTAAATTTAATAATCTAATAATTTCTATATTTATTTTTTATAATTTAGATTAATACAATTTAACACATTCATTATTATACAAATTATTTTTATTTTATTTATTATTACAATTTTAAGTTTAAATAACAGATAACTTAATTATAAGATTTCTATTGCTTAAAAATATCATCATAAATTCCAAAATTAAATTTTATGATATTTATTTTAGAAATATTATTTTATTTTACATTTACCTTTGAGAAATCATTTTTTATTTATTCTTATTAATAAAGTAACAAGTTAAAAATCTGCAATATTAATATCAAATTTTTTATCTAACATGTAATTTACTTGTTTTAATTATCTATAAGATTTCCATTTGAATTTTAAAATTCTATAACTTTAATCAACTAATGATTATAATCTTTAACAATCACTTAAGGAAATCTACATTAATTTGATTCTAATTCAAAAAAATATCTGCTTAACAGTATTCTTATATTATATACATTGCTTGATATTTTATCTATTCTTCTTAATATTTTTTTTATTTAAAATTGATTCTACTAAATTTGCAAAACTTTTTGCTTTTTTTTATTTCTTCTGTTTATTTTTTAAAATTTTTAATTTTGAAATTAAATTATAGTATTTATAATAATTTTATATAATATTTTAAATAATTTTAAATACTATGTTTAAGTTTCACATAATAGAATGTAATGTCATTATTTATGTGTATTTAACAATTTAAGCTTTTTATTTTTTCTCTTATTTTATCCATTTTTTTTTAATTATTATATTTTTTTTAAATTAATTCATATTATTTATTATTTTTTATTTTTAATTTTATAAATGATATATTTTCATTTTTGGTTAATCGTTACTTTGACTAAAGTACTTATAATTTTTATAATATTTTCTTTATTAAATACTGAAGTAATTTTATAATAATATGAAAATTTAAATAAAACATCTATTTATTTTTAGAAAAATTATATTTTTATTTTATTAATATTATAAAATTACAGATCAATTTTTTTAAATGAATTAATGCGATTTTTTCTGTTTTTTTATTTAATCGAGTTTTTTTTTTAAAAAAAAAAAACAGAGTCCCAAGATAAAAAGTAACATATTTTTTTGTTAGAAAAAGTTAATTTTAATTTTATTTATTATTATTAATATTTATAATAAAAAAAATATATATATATGATTTCTCATTTAATTTATTTTTTAATAAGTAAGAATATTAAATTATAAATAATGAAAGTTTAATCTATAAAAATTAATTTATTAAAAAAATATTAATAATTTTAGATTTTAATAAATAAAAAATATTTAAATTTAAATTTTTATTCATCTTTTTCTTTCTCTGAAAAATTTAGCTACTTCTCCATTTTTATATTTTCTTATTCTTCTTTTTTCTTTTTTCTATTAATTTTTGTATTTTAAATATATAGATAAATATTACTAACAAATTTTTTTGATAATCCAATTTAATATATGCTTTTTCCATTTTTTCATGATTCTCTTATACTTTTTTAAGTTTTTTATAAGATTCTTTAATTTTTCTTTATAATGATTTCTCCTATTCCTTTATTAAAAAATAAATAGTTAAATAAATATTTTTTTAAAAATAAATACTAAATTCTCAGGCTAGTTTAAAATTTAATTATCTTTTTCAATTTAAAAGTTATCAAATTCTTCTTTAGAATCAACGAAATATTTTTATTAGTTCATTTTAGGTCCTTCTAAATTATGCAATTGAGCTTATAATTTTTAAATTTATTTCATGTCTTTATGTTTTTAAACTTTAATTAAATTCATATTTTTAGCCTTTACTAAAGACTTAAATTCATTTTTATCAAAATCTTCGTTTTCGTCTTCTTAATTTTATTCTACATGTTTACCATCCTTAATAAAATTAATAAATTAATTAAAAAATAAAATTACAATAATTTTAGCCCTTTGCATTTTAAAATAGAATTCATCATCATTTTTAAGTCTTGCTTTTTATTTTAAATTATTTAAAATATCGTTTATTTTATGATAATGCTTCGCTCTTTTTTTATAATCCTATTTCTTTTCTAATAAACCTAAATGCTCCCTTTCTTTTAATTATCCTCTTTCCCTATGTTTTCTTCCAATTTTTAGATTTTTAAATGTAGTAAATGACATTTTATTTTTAATTAAATAACAAATAAATAAATTTAACTTTTAATTTTTTAATATTTATTAATATTTATTAATAATATTAATAATATTTTTGTTTTTATATTTAAATATTTTCTTAAAAATAAAATAAAACATAAATATATTATATATAATATTTTCCTAAAAATAAAAAAAAATAAAAATGAATATCAAATAAATAGATATATTAATAGAAGAATTAAAGTCCTTTTAAAATTAAATAAAAAAAAAATATACTTAGCTAAAATAGGTTTAAAATTTTTTATATAATAAATATAATTAAATTAAATAAAAGGAAATTACTAAATTCCAAAACATTCTTGAGAAATTAAGAAAGTAAAATCATAGTGAAGATTTTCCATTTTAAAAGCTTAATCAAATATTTTAAATATGCACAAATATAGTAAAATAAAAACCAAATCTAAATTTTCTGAATTTTTTGAATAGAATTATGAATTTTTAATTGTTAAAAAATGTAAATATAAAAAAATTACTAAAAAAAAAATTATAAAAAGTTAGAAAACTACAATCAAATATTATAATATTTAGTGAAAATAACATATATAAAAAAGTAATAATTATGTATAAAGATATAATAAACACTATTTCATTTAATAAACCCTAATTTATTTAAAGCTCTTTAATTCAAATATATATCTGATTTGTTTACTATATCCATATATATTTATTCTTCATATGATAATAATATGATAAAAAATTTAAATTATAGCATATTAGAATAAATGATTTAAAATTTAGAATAAGCAAATCCATAAATATTTTATTAAATTTTTGAAGACTTTGTTGATTTTTTAGCCGAAAAAAGAGTTCCATAATGGCATGAAAATAAAGCAATTTGTTAAGATTTATGTAAAAAATTATAAATAAAAAATTATAATATTTATCAAAAAAAAGGCTTTGAAGTATGTTTTTTATTAATTAAATAAGCAAAATACAATATTTAATAAATTAAACAAAATTAATAATAAAATTTTGATAACTTACATATAGGTTTAACCTAAATATTATAAAATATAATTGATAAAAATCCTAATTTAGAAACTGAAAATTAATTAAAATGTAAAATATAATTAAAAAATTAAAATTAAATATTAAAAAAAAAGATTTGAAAATAAATGAATTGCTAATTCATACATTTATTAATTCGAAATAATAGTTATCATATATATTTCACTTAAATTCAATTAAAATAAACTCTTATACAAAAATATTAACTTTATAAGCAATTAATTATATATTTTAGTCAAAAGAATAATCTCAATATTTATTATAATCCCCAGATTTATTGATATAGTTATTTAAAGAAATATTAAATCCTTTAATTAAATAAATAAACGAAAAAAAGCATTCTTTAATTTTTCCCAAGAAACGAGTTTAAACAAAACATTCTTTTATGTAAATATATCATCAATAAGAAATAAAATAGCTCACATAATATGAATTTTATATTTTATTTGAAGATATAATATTAAATTTTAAACAGTTTTTGACTAAAGAAGTTTTATCTTATGTATAAGAAGAATTATATTTTTTAATTTAAGATTGGCATAATCTTTTAATAGAAATAAATTATTTCGAAGATTATCTAAATTCTCCAATAATACCTTACTTTCTTTTACTTTTAAAACTTTCTCTTTCTTCATAAAATAAACCTGAATCTTTTTTTCATAAATTATTCCTACTAGTTATAATAAAAGATTAATTTAAAGAGTATTAAGAACTTTCTAATGGTTTTTTCCTTAATAGTAAACTTTTTCTGGTTATTTTTGAATAATTTCATACTGTTTTTGATTAGTAACTTATTAAAAATACATTTAAATATCTTAAAATGTGCCATGACATAATCGAGCCATAATAAATAGAAGAAACAGATTAAATTGATGAAAAAAACTTAACTTAAACTGAAAAAGAAGATTTAATAATAATCAGGCTATTAAATTTTTATAAAAAAACTTAGTAATTTCCTTTAGAATTATTAAAAAAAATTATTTAAGGATAAATTTTGCTACTTTTTGATCCTAATATAGAAGAAAAAACAAGTTCTGAAGAAGCATTACCTTTCTATACATATTTGTTCGAAAAAGTAAATGAAATTTGCGCAAATAACATTTTAGAATATAAGAAATTCTATATATTCTCGAAAACTTAATCAAAGCGTATTTGAATAAAATAAATTAGAATATAAATTACAAGCAATAAAAGTTTTCATAAACTTAACTTGTGATTCATGCGATAAAAACTTAGAAAATATTCAAGAAAAACTAATACAAATTATTAACAAATATTTAAAAAAATAAATTTCTTTATAAAAATAAGAAGATTGTTTTTAAAAAATAGATAGTTCTGAAAATTCAATATAAAATAAATTAGAAGATGATTAATAGAGTGATATTATTATTTCTTATTTTTCTGAAAAGTAACATTGTCGCTAACAAAATATATTAAAAAATTAACATATTAATCTAAAAAGAATTAGTTTAAATATTTACAAATCCTACTAAAAACATAGATTTACTCATTTAAAATTTCCAAAATTATATATAGATAATAAATAATATTAACAATCCTAAAATTGAGGAAATTTCCATGTATATACAAACTTTAGTCATATTCATAACACAAAATAATATCGAGAATATACTTTATCATTCATGTCCTTTACTTTTGAAGCTTTTTGAATTGTTATAAGCATATTCATTTTAAGAAAATCAGGAAATTCTAATTGATAATTCACAAAAAATCTTTTATTCATTATCTTAAATATCGTTTCATTCTAACAATTAATTAAGAGAATAATCATTAAAAGCATTTTCTGAAATAATATTGAATTCTGTTGATTTTTTTCCTCTTTTTTTCTGGAATGAATATATATTTAATATCAATATCTATTAAATATCATCCTAAACAATTAAACATATTTTTTAAATGATTTAAAATTATGATTCTAATTATCCTATATAAGAATGGATTAACACATCTTTAGTTTTACTCAAAATACTAGACTCGATTGTGGAAAAATACTTATAAATTCCTTAAAATTCCTCATAGTGTATATCTTTATATTTTATTATTCTTTCGGATTTCCTTAGTTTTTAAATATATGAAATTATTGATTTATCGCTATAAAATTTACTTGTTTTTTTCCAAAAAAATCCTAATTTTTTAGGCTTACTTCTTTAAGAACTTCAGACCATTATTGAAAGGCTAGATGAGAATCTTTCTGGCGAATTTTCTTTGGTAAAAATAGTGCCTAAAACTATAGATTTTCTAAAATCTTTGATTTAAACTTTTTCTTTGTAGAAGCATGAAACATTTTTACCTTTAATCGAGCCTATTTTATTATTGCTTAATAAAATTATTCCCCTTTAAAATTCTTTTAATAATTTTGAACATTTTTCTACTATTTTTACACTACTTTCTACTTATTAAGTTCCTTTTATAACTTTTGTTAAAAAATTATTCGAATAAAATTAATTTTCTATTAATTTCTTACATCTTCTACCAACTATATTTTAATGCCTCACAAAATCTACTGAACATGACTATATTTTTTGGCGTTTTTTCTTCTTAAAAAATTAAATATAATACTTTTTATATATAGTTTTTGTAGTAAAATACTCACTTTAATCCTATTTGGATAAATTAATCTTAAAACTTCCTAGAAGCTTGTAGTAAAGAAGTTGGAAATACAGAAACATACTAATTTTTTAATGAATTATTTACATTAAGTCTAGAAATTTTGAATTAAGAAACTATAATTTCAGCATTGAATCCATAATAATAAGAATTATATTTTAATCACGAAAAAAATCTTATTTTTTATGCATTAGATAACTTAGATATTTTAAACATGGAAAGTCTTCAAAAAATTATATATAAAACTGTATTATCGGAAAATACCTTAGAAATAGGATATTATTGCCTAGAAAAGATATTAGAAAAAGCAAAGAATAAGCAATTAGATAATATTAGCCTTTTTAATATTATAATTGAATTATCCGAATATATATTTGAAAAATATCTTGTTAAAAAATAGTAAAAACTTGAAAAAAATATAATCATGCTTCTTTAAAATCTTGAAGAAATCTCACTTTAAGAAGATTTAACGATTTAAATTTCTAAAGTTAATAATTTCAAGTTCTCTAATAAATTCTAAGAAAATAAATTGTTTAATAATTCTAAAGGACATATAGCTTTTTTAATGAAGTTTTTTGAAGAACTTATACTTTGTGACTCTATTTATATCAGAATTAAAGTTAAATAACTTATTCATCAGTATAATCAATAAATAGGACTTATTTAATGATTATTCATTTATTATTTAATTTAAAATAATATTATATTTTTTTTATTTATGTTAAAATATATATTAATTTTTTTTTTTTTTTCATTACTTTTATGAATAGTAAAATAAACAATTTATATATATATATAATATTTCATATACAAAATAAAATTGTTCAATAATTAATCTAGCTTACTTCATATTCTATATTACCATTATTATCATTATAATATAAATTTTAACTTTATTGATTTTTATCTTATTTTTATTTTTGTGCATCTTTATTTTCATAATCTTCTTATCTATTTTAGTTTTCATCTCCCTATTCATTTTAATTTTCTTATTATTAATAGCTGATATTTTAATCCTCATTATTTTCGTCATTTTCAACTTCAATATTTTATAAGATCTAATTAATTAATTAATCATGTTTTAACATATTTAATTAGCTATTATTTACCTAATAGCATCTATTTTATAAATATGCTAAATTAACATCAATATTTTAAAGTTACTTATACATATTTTCATTTTAAAATTCTTCCAAAAACTATTTTTTTTCCCTTTTATTTAAAGTACCTATAATGAATTATTATTTGTGACTATCTTTTTTATTATTATAAATATTTAAAGAAAGAGTTTTCCTTTTTTTATAAAAATTAAGAACTTTCGCAATAATTTTTATTTTAAGGATTATAATTTTCTAACATATTGTTTTCCGAATTTTTTTAAGTCAAATTTTCTTATTTTTTAAAAAACTATTCTTCTTTATATTTAGAATTTTACAAAAATTTGTTATCTGTTTTATTTTTTTATATAGCTAAATTTTGGGACCCTTTTTTTTGCGAGCATTATTAACTATTCGTTATTTGAATATTATTTATTTTAGGATTATTAGAGTTATCATTAATTTCGAAATTTTAATTATCTTAATTACTTTATTAAATGCTTTTATTATTATTTTAAAAAAATTATTTATCTTTTACTAAAAACTTGAAATTATTTTTAAAATTTTAATCTTATAAAAATAAGTCTTCTTTATTATTTTCATTAAGAATTTAATTATTTTATTTAAAAAAAAGTTCACTTTTATCATCCATAAAGTTTTCTTAATTCTTTAGAAAACTATTAATAAATTATAAATTTTTTTAATGTAAACAGTTAATTGAATTTTCTTTATCAGTTTTTTATAATAAATAACAGTATTATTTTACTTAGAAGGTATTTATTATTAAGTTCGGAATTATTAACAATAATTAAATGAATTTTTTATTAATTTTATTATTCTAATATTCGTTTTCCTTATCCAAATATGGCAGAAATTATATTTTAATATTAGTTAATGCAATTACCTTTTCCTGAATAATGATATATTTTTCATTTCAGTAAACTTATTATTTTTATTATTATTCTCATCTTAACCAATATAATTATATCCATCAAGATTTTTATTATTTTAATAATCATCCGAAAATTTTAAAATAATATTAGCTACGTAAGTACACTGGGGAAAGTTCCAGTATTTATTTTAGAATAAAGTAAATAACCTTTACAAGTAACTTCGAATGCTCCTAGTTTCGGATTTTTTGTAAAATTATTCATCGTAATAATTATGTTTGGATTTACTTAAGATATTGCTTACTTGGTTGATTCATATACTGTATTGTATTTTTATTCATCATGTCTAGTACACCATTAATGATCTTTACAATTTTTGCAAACTTGGATATCACCAATCAATTTTTCATTTGTAATATGTTTATTCATTTTTTTTTTAATTTAAATATAAAGCGAATTTTTTTTAAATTTTTATATTTTTATTATATAATTAAAACATTACTTATTAAAAAAAATCAAAAAAAAAATATGCAAATATTGAAACAAAAGTACATTCAGCTCATTTCAATATAAATAAATGAAAATTTAGGATCTGAAAAAATTAAATCTAAATTGTTTAATATAGTAAGAGATAAAAAAATTTAAATAAGAATAGGATTATATTTTTATATTTGGATATTGTTTGCATTCAAGAATTTCTAGAACTAGCTAAATCTTCTTCCTTTATAAGATTAGTTAAAAAGAGATTATAATTATAAAATTTGGTAATGAGATGTCCAAGATATTCATGCTAATTGAGAAAAACTAATAATATAATAATATAGATAGATATTGATATATTAAATGCATTTTTGGTCATATGCCTGAAATATATATTTTTTATAAATAATATTTGAATCTTACTTATATTTATTAAATACAAAATAGCGTAAAATATAAATATGGTTTAATGATGATATGTAAGCCGAGAACGCACACGAAGATGTAATAAAACTAGATGTCTTAGTGAAATTATAGAATTTAATTAAAACTTTGGAATTTAAATATGGAGATGTCAAAAATATGTGAATTATTTTACAAATTTAAACATTCCACCCTTAATCATTTTCTTTATAAAATACACCAACTTGATAATAATGTTGCTATTAAATAATTAATAGCTATCAGCTTAAATTAAAGTAAAACTATTATATATTTTTAACTATAAATTATTTATATATTACTTAATATATTTATATATTATTTTATTTTAGTTATTTATAATATAAATTTATATTACTATTCAATTCTATTTTTTATAAATAAAAAAAAATGCAAACGAAGATAAATTAAATTAAATAATTTAAAGTTAAAATTATCTTTAAAAAAAATATAAATTAAAAAAAAATATTTACAATAAAATAAAAATCTTCAAAAAAAAGTAAAAAAAAAAAAGATAAAAAAAGAAAAAAAGAAAATTGGCAAAAGATACCAAACCTACCACAAAAGAATAACCAAAAACCGTTTCAAAATAAGGAGCACCTGCCGCTGTTTCAAAAGCAACTAAAGTAGCAAAGGCCGCCAAAAAGGGAACCTCAGTATCAAGTCATAAAACCCATACCAGAGCTAGATTTTACCGTCCCAAAACATTATAATTGCCAAGAGCCCCTAAATATTAAAGAACAGTAAGAGCTCATCTTAAACTTTCCAACCATTTAGAAAATCATGCTGTAGTTAAACATCCCTTAACAACTGAAAAAGCTATGAAGAAAATGGAAGATGAAAATACAATGGTTTTCTTAGTACACAACAGAGCCACTAAACCTTAAATCAAGAAGGCTTTTGAAAAACTCCATAATGTTAAGGTAAGAAGTATCAACACACTTAACACTGTTAAAGGATCAAAAAAAGCTTATATCAGATTAAGCGCTGATTGTGACTCTTTAAGTTTGGCAAGCAAAATCGGAATTATTTGAAGAATTTTTTTTTTTTATTAATATAATTTTAATAGTTATTTTATTTGGATAATTCAAACAAAAAAATAATTAGTTTTGTAAATTTTTTTGTATTGTTGATTTTTTTTTTATTTAAATATTTAAAATTATATATATATTTCTTTATAATATCTAAATATTATAAATTTTTATTTTATTATGAAAAAAATTAATTAATACTTTTTTTATATTTTTTGTTTTTTCCAAAAAATTAAATATATTTCGATAAAAATCAATTCAAATATAATCTACATCTTAGATATCTTATATATCAAAGTTTTAGATGCTTATTTCTTTTTTACCACTTCCATTACTAACTATTTCTAATTGTTATTCAAACTAAATCTATTCTTTAACATTATTTGAATTATCTATTTATTCAGACAAAAGAATTTCAATCGTATAATATTTAATATTAGGAAACTATTTTATAAGTTACTTTACATATTTGAGAACTTTAAATCTTTTTTTTTCTTATTTTATCATAATTTTAACTGAAAAGATCAATTATTTTGAAGTATAAGCCCATAAATGAAATTCTTGGAAGTTTTCGATATTTTTATGTGAATTAAGCTTTTATTTTATTATTAATAAATTTATCAAAAATAAATAATTTTACTTTTTAAATTATATAATCTAAGTCTTTGTTATATTTATTCGAATTATAGCTTTGTAAAATAATACTTAGTGAAGATTTAAGCAAAGGGAAAACACTTAAGAAAATGAAAAAAGATATAATAAAAGAAGTAATAGGATCAGCTACGTACCAACCATAAAAATGTATAAGTAATGATGAAATTATAACACCCACACTTCCTAAAGCATCAGCCAAAATATGTAAAAATACACCTATTTTTAATAAAAAAAATAAAAAAAAAATATTTATAAGTAACTTTTACCTGTTAAGTTATCATCATGATGATGATGGTTATGCCCCCCATTTTCTTTATCGTGGTCATGCTATTTTTTATGGTGATGATGCTCATTATCATCATGATTTTCATGATGGTGATCAGTATGATTTTCATGATGGTGAATAGCATGATCGTCATGTTTACAATCGTTTTCATAATGATGATGTTCATCTTCATGGACATGATCATGATGATGATTTTTTGGATCACATAATTTTTCATGACTATTTTATTTATAATCATTGTGATGATGATGGCTATGAGAACATCCTCCTCCGTCTTCATCTTCAGAATGTGCATGAGCATGTTCATGGAAACAGCAAAGCCCAACTATATTAATAATAAGCCCAAGAGTAGAAACAACCATCATTTATTCAGAAAGAACAACTTAAGGAGCATACATTCTTTCTACAGATTCTGTAAGGATATCGAAAGCAACAAAAACTAAAAAAAGTCCGTTAATAAATCCAGATAAAACGGATATTCTTTAAAATCCAAATGAATATAAACTTGAAGATTTCAGTTTTGACATAAAGCTTGCATATAATCCTATTGCTAAAGCACTTGAATCAAAAAGCATATGTGCAGAATCTGATATTAAGCTTAAACTATTAGATAGAAGTCCATATATTAATTCGACAAACATAAATGTAAAACTGAATCTATTAGTTTTTTTATATATATTTTTATTTTAAATATTATTTTATTACGTTAACATCAAAATTAACTTTTTACTATCTTTATTTGTTTATATATGATTAATAAAATTTGCAAACGAAACTTCTGAATATAATTCTATATTTTGTTCTCTTATTAAAGGATTAGAACCTTCTTTTTTTGATACTATTAAATTAGTAAATTAAGAATCTTTTAAATTTATGATTTCACAAAAACTAAGAATACCATATAATAATAATTACAAGAGTAGAGAATTAATATTTTTATCTTGATATAGATAAAATACAATAATATAAATCCACACTATTAATGATTAATATCTCGATCTATGATTTTCATTCAATTTTGCTTTTAAACTTTAATCTAAAAAATAACAAAGAGAGAATAAAACTATTAAATTTAAGGCAATACTATTTTACTAAATTAGGATTAATCCATTATTTTTATTTTAATCAAACAAACTCTTTTTTGTTATTAAAATAAAATTAATTAAATTAATATTATTTTACATTTCCTAAAAATAATATGAAATATGTGATTAAACTTCCAAATACAGTAAAATTATTAATTTATTTTAAATCTAATCTAGATTTCTAAATAAATACCTATTTTCCTTTTTAGCATGTTTAATATAAAATTATTAATCCTAAAGTTTATAATAATTTGTTGATTCCAACTTCATTTGCAAATATTGAGAATGCAATAATAATTTATATAAATGCAATTATTTTCTATTTTTTTTTAAAAAAATAATTTTTGTTAATTTACGCTTTTATAAGAAGTTATAATTTCTTCTTCCTATTATTCCTAATGTGCTTAATAAAAATATTTTAAAATGCAAAAGACATGATTAATTATATCAATTCTTTTTTATTATTTTTTAATATAAATTAAAAATATATATTTTATTACATTACAAATTTGAATGTTATTAAAAGATACAAATATATTATTTGGCTAATAGAAGTTAAAAATATTAATATTATTAATTTAAAAAGCTATTTAATAAAATAAATAAATAATTCCATTTAAATTTATTTTTATTTTTTTACATTCTCAGTATTAATTATTTTAGTATTTAATGATTTCAGAAATTAATTTTTGATAATAAAATAAACAAAAATTACAAAAAAAGTAATCAGATTAGATTAGATTAGTTTATTTAATTAATTTTATTATTTAAAATAAACAAAGGTAAATATTTGAAGTGCATTTTAAAATATTAGTTTTAACATTATTCTTATTTTATATAAAAAAATAAAATTATTTTATATATGAAAAATATTTGCATTAAAAATAATTCTATATTCCTTTAATCAAAAACAAAATATTATTTTTTTAATATATATAATATCAATATATTTTTTTTTATATTAGATAAATAAATTATAACAAAATAATTTTTTATCAATTTTTTTTTTTAAAAAAATAATTCATTTCTAGATTACATAAATATTAAATAAAATATATATTTTATTTAATATATTTAAAAAATTAATATTTTAGATATAATAAAAATATATATAATAAAATAAAATAATATTATAAAATAAAAGTACTTTATAAAAAAATATAATTATTAAAATAAAGAAAAATATTTATTATTTTAATTAATTTTAAAAAATAATTATAATGGCTATATATATATATATATTTAATCATTTCATTTTATAATAAAAAAAATTATATTGAAATATATTACATATTCAACTTTTTTTTTTATGATAAATAAACTAATGCATTTTTTATTAAAAAAATTATATTTTAAGTTTAAATTTTTAAAAAAGTATATATTCATTTTATAAAATAAAAATAGATAAATAAATAGATATATATTGGCAAATTAATTATATTTAAATGTAAAATTTATAAAAAATAATTTAAAAAGCATACAAATGATTGCTTAAAAAAATTATAAATGAGAAAAAAAAAAAAAAATATTATTTAATAAACCTTAAATGAAATTTAAATGTTTTTGAAAATGAAATTTAAATGTATTTAAAAATTAAATTTTATTTTATCTATTTTAATTTTGAGAGGAAAATAATATAAAATAAATAAAGATATCAAAAATAAATAAATTAAAAAAATATAAATAAAAAATTATTTAAATTAAATTAATAATAATTAAATTTATATATATATATATAATCCATATTTATATAATTGCAGAAATGTTTATTATTTATATATATCTATATCAATTTTAAGAATAAATTTGATAAAATTATTTGCAATAATTTTATAAATAAAATTAAAACAAATTATCAAATTCAGAATTTTAATTATTATTAAGAAGAGAATGTATAATATTTATTTTAGAATTAAGAATGAATTCTTTATTTGAAATAAAATTTTAAAAACATTATTCTTCAAAAGCTTAATCAAATTAAAAGAAGTCGTTAATATATATATTAACTTATTAATTTTCGAATTATAATTTAAAGCAGTATTATAATTGTTATTATTATCTAGTTTCTTTTAATTTTTCCTATTCTTACTCTTACACTAACTCTTAGATTTAATCTTACCCTTTCTCTTTCTCTTTCTCTTTCTCTTTTCCTTTTCTTGTTTTTGCTCTTTATCTATTTCTTGCTCACACTCTTTGTATATTTCTTGCTCACGCTCTTACACTTGCTTTTACTCTTACTCTTATTCTTGTTATTTTTCTTTTGTATATTAGTTATCTTATTTCTAATATAAGCAATTATTATTATTAAATCCTTCATTTTCTTAAATTTAAAATTCTTCATAACATTTTGATTCATTAAATTGTTTCTATCCTGTTTAATTTTATTCTTTATTATTTTAATTATTACATTTTTATTATTTCACTTGATTATTACAAGTTTATTAAAATCCAGAATTATATGAAGCAAAATTACTATTTATAGAGGTAAAATGACTCTCATCATTTGTTGAGTTTTCGAATTCTTCATTATTTATATTAGTTAAATTATTATTCTTTAGGGATAAATTAAACTATTAACTATTATTCTTTATTTATAATTCTTTTTCTTCTTCTCTAATTATTGTGTTTTCAAATAGTAAATTATTAATTCCTTCTTATGAATCATTCACAAAAAACTCAGTATGACACTCCTCAAAAGCTTCAAATTTTTCATCTTAATTTTATTATTAATCTTTTTAAGGAGTTTCAATATATTGCAATTGATCTTTAGAGTTGTTCGAAAAGTCTTAATCAAAATCATTTTCTTAAAGTTCTTTAATAGAATATAATTTCGTAATTTATTAATTTTTTTAAAATTTTAACTTCTTATTATTTTTTTATTAAATAACTTTTTATTTATTATTTTTATTATTATTATTATTTTATTTTGATTTTATATGTTAATATTTATTGTAACTTAAATATTATGACTATTCTAAAAATTATTAATTTTATTATTATTATTATTATTATTATTATTATTATTATTAATTATTTTATTCTCCTCTTTTAAAAAATTTTATTTTTCTTTTACTCATTATTTATTTATAATAAATACAACTGACATAAAGAATCTATATAACTAAGCAAAATATATACGTGTAATTTACTATTTTAAATTCTCCATACAAATTCAATTCAAATATATTATTTCCTAATAGAAATTAGGAAATGTTTACAAATATTTAGCACAAAGAAAATATTTTTATATAATGAATATAATTAATAGGTCTATATTAAGAATCAATAAATAAAATAACTTAAAATAGGAAAGCAATTAAAATAAATTATTTTATTTAAAATAAAAATTAGAATAAAGATAAAGATATTAGACATATAAGTTAATATAAATTAGAATAATCAACTTATTTACTCTTTGTTATTATGATTTTTCTTTAGCTTTATTAATTGTGAGATTTAGAGTTATACTATTTCATTATTTTTTTAAATTTATTATCCAAAATTTTTTATATAATTTATAATTAACAAAATAGAAAAATAAAATATATATACATATATAAAATTACATATATATATTTTTTTGTTTATTTTTAATAAAAATTAAAAATAAAATATATATTAAATATATATGTAATAAATTTTGTTAATTAATTATTATTTTTAATAATTCATAATTTTATAAAAATAATATATAATATACATTTTGTTAAATTTAGCATATTTGTTTAAATTCGTAAAAAATAAAAATAATATAATATAATTTATTATTATTTTTTATTTTATAAATTAAAAGTTATTGTAATATTAATTTAATATAAAATATATTATAATTAAATGATATAAATTTATATATCTAATCAGAATTTTATAAAAATATATAAAAAATATTTATATTAATATTAATCAATTTTAATATATAATAAATAAAAAATATAATTATTATACATAAAATTTTAAAGTTAAATTCTTTATTTTTTAATTTAGTATATTTTATTTTTAGAATACAAATATATATATATATTAAGATATTCAATTACATTAATAAGGTAAAAAAATGTATAAATAATATTAATGATAATTTTTTTTACATATATTATAAGAAATAAATATATCTGAATTATAAAAATTGTTAATATAAATTTTTATTTATATATTTATGACTAATTTTAAATAATATATTTACTACATTATTAGAATAGTAAAAATAAAAAATATTATAAAAAATTAATAAATTAAGTGGCAATAATATATTTTATATCAAATAATTATTTAGAATAAACTTGATAAAAATATAAGTAAGTATATTAAGAGCTAATAATATTAAGTTAAATAATAAAAAATATAAGATATATTATATATTATATATTATATTTTATATCCTATATATTTTTTGTTTTTTTAAATTATATTAATACTTAAAATTCTATTTTATAATACAAAATTAGTAACTTTTATTTTATATAAAAAAAAATTATTTTAATAATATTATTTTACTTTATAATATAGTAATAAATTAGTATATTTTTATAATCTTTTCATCTTTTTTCTATATAAAAATAAATTTTTATTTTAAATATTAATAATTTATATATATATATATTTATTCTTAATTTAATATTTAATTTTATAAAATTCAAGTATAAAATTTATCTAAATTTGTATTAAAATATTATATTAAAATTAATCATTATTATTATTAAAAATAATTAATTAAAAAAATTATGTAAAAAATGATTAATTAAATTTAAATAATAAATTTTATCCTTGCATAAAAAATATAATATATATATTTTTTGTGTGTTTGCACATTTTATTTTATTATTTATTTACATTTTACAAAATTGGTATTGTATATTTTTAAAATGCTAAATTATGAATATTTTTTTAATAACAGCTTATTTTACATTGAAATTTTTTAACTTATTATTATTATTATTACTTATTTTAATTATCTTTATATTCTTAAACAAGTTAAATTTTACAATAATATTAGACATTATGTAGTATTTTACTTATTTTTTTTACATATGTAAACTTTTAATTTAATCATTATTAAAAAAGCCTCTTTTAAAACACTATTTTTTTAAAATAGATATATTTAATTTTATATTTTATAAATTATTTTTTATTTTTTTCTTATTTTTATATTTATTATCTTGATTTTATAAAAATAAAAAAATATCTATTATTAATATAATTACTTTTAACATCAGAATTCGATTAAGGTAAGATTTTCAATAGTAATTCAATTTAAATTAAAAAATAAATCAAATGGGTATTAATTAATATTGTTTTAAGAAAAATTCTTGCAATATATTTTAAACTCAATAGAATTAGAAAAAGTTAGTTTTTTCCATATATTACTTTTTGATAAGTTTTTTTGTATTATTTTAAAGAATTCAATCAAAAAAAAAAGAAGGCGAAAAAAAAATATATGTATATGCCTAATTTTTAATTTAGATTAAAAAATAATTAAAAAAAATATAAGCAAGTAATACATATTTATATCAGATTTTTTATATATACAGCTAATTAACAAATTTTTAGATAATAAAATAACCTAAAATAAAAAAAAATATATTAATATCAATTATTTAGGTTTAATAATTTAAATTTTATATTAGGTTAAAATATCAAAAATTTATATAATTGTTTATTTTAAATATTAATATGTTTTTCGTTTGATAATGATTTTTTTTAAAAAATTAATTTTCTTTATTAATATTATTATAACAGTATTAACTACTATTAATTCAATATAATATTTTATAAACTATTTTATTATTTATAATTTAAAAAATAATATAAAAAATGATTAAATAAGTCAATATTGATTAATTATTTCATTTTAAAAACTAATAATATACTCAAAATCTATTTATGTAAATAATGATATTGAATCGTCTATTATTTCTTTTCTAACTAAAATATTAAATAATTTTTTTGAATAATTTATCATAATTATTCAAGTTGAATTATTTATTATTATAATTATTATTTTCAAATGAAAATTCTAAATCTTTATTCTAAAAATTCTAATATTTAAATGAATACGAATTTATCAAGTTTATTTTTTTAAAAAAAATTAACTAAATTAAATACTTATATTTTAATTTTTTTACGAAATGCAAATAAGCATAAACTTTGAGTATAGTTATAATATTTTATAATCCTAATATAAATTAAATAACAAATTTTATTATCATTTATTAAATTTTCTAAAGAAATTTAATTAAAAATTAAAAAAAAAATATTTATTATTTTAAAGAAGATAATATTATATTATATCAAACAAACACAATGTATTTATTTATAAAAATATATTTATTAATTCTAAGTTTATGTGTTTTATCTATTTTTTGATTAATTCAAAATTTTTAATATATATTTATATAATTTTTACTTTTTATTAATAATAATTTATATTTAAATACGATATAAATTTATAAACATATTGACGCAATTAATATACCATTATTATTTTTGCATCCCAATTATTTCTAAATTTAGACTTATTTTTAAATAAAATATTGTTTTTATTAAGAATATTTTTTATTTTTATAAAGAATTTAGTAAAACATATAGTTTAAAATTATTTGTTTGAAGAAAATTTTCAAACAAACTTTAAAATATTAATATATACTTAAAAAAACATGTAGGAAAAATTGATATCTATTGAATTATTTTGAAATGCTATATAATAATAAATTCTTATTAAGTTTTATTATAAATTAAAATGATTTTAGATTTTTTTAATTTCATTAATAATATAATTTATCTAAATAAAATATATCAAATAAATAAAATTAGTTGATAATTTTATACATAATTATTTTTATTAAAAATAATGATTTATTAGAAAAATATTTATATATAATTTTACTTTTATTATTATTATAAATATAAATTTCATAAATTAATAATTTATAATAAATAAATTGAAAAACCTTTTTATTTTTAAATTTAAAAAAGAACTTTTAATTTGAAATTATTAGTTAATTAGAAAATTTACATACTAAGATTTTAATTAAAAGTTTTTAAATAAATATTATAAAATAATGGATAAAATCTAAGAAAAACATGATTTTTATAACTCGAATTCATCTTCTATTTAATAACTTTGTTAATATATTTAAAATAGAATAATAGAAGACAATATATCACTTTTAGAAAGTTTTGATTAAAGATAGTTTAGCCATATAAATATTAAAAATTTAAGCTTCTTGTTTATTGATAAAACTTAAAAAATTAACTTTCATTAAATGTTTGCAAATAATTAAAAATATTAATGTTTAACTTTAATATTTTTTAGCATTTTAATTATTTTTTTAGGTTATTTTATCTAATAATATCTAAAAACTACTTATATGGTCTGAATTATCATTAAAATAATCTAATTTTTATTTATATAATTAAAATTTTATACTTTTTATTAAATAAAAATGATTATATATATCATTTTATATAATTATATAATATATTTTTAAAAAAATAATAATAAAATATTTCATTTTTTTTTAAAAAAAATGCTATTAAAATTATAATATAAAAATAATAATATTAATATATTTCATATTTTTGGTAATTATTATTGATTAGAATTTGAAGATTATTATTTATTATTAGAATTTAATAAATTTTAGTAACAAGTAATTTTGGTAATTTTTTTTAATAAAGAAATTTACTATGCATCTATATTTTATCTTTTCCAATTTCTTATAAAATTATCATGATTAAATTTACCTTTATAAATGAGCTTTTTATTAACATTAAATTCGTATAATTACTAATTAGGTCTAACATATTGAATCTGCTCATTAAAATTTTTATAATTAGTTATACTTTTAACATTTTTTAAAGAATTTTAACTTTCAACTAATTAAAATAATGATTAGTAGTGCTAAGGTTTTTGTTCCATCGCTATATATGTTAAAGATTTAATGTTATTAACCAAACTATTTGTTTTTTTATTATTTTATTCTTTATCGTTTATATTTTCAATAGAACTTTATTAAAAGTTATTATAATTATTTTTTTATTCGTGTTTATTTATTTTTTTAATGAAATCTCTTTCATAATTATTTTTTTATTAAAGAATGAGATTTTATGATTTTCTCTCATAATTATTTTTTTGAATGCTTCTTTATGATTATAAAGTATCTTTCTACTAAATTTCTTTATCTACAAATTCAGCTATTTCTTACTAAGTCTATCTAAGTATTTATTCTCGTTATTTATGAGATGCATTTAAGAATTTCTCATTTATAAATTACTAATGTATTTATTAATTCTAAATTTCGGATAACTTTTGAAGATTATTTATTTTGTTCACATTTTTGAATATTTATTAAATATTATTTTAATTAAATTTCTATAAATCTTATGAAATATTAAACTTTTTTTATATATTCACCTTTTATTAGACTTAGACTATATCTTAAACTAAAAAAGATTTGTATAACTATATTTATTATATTTATTTATTTATCATCATTTAATTGTCTTAATCTTTTAGCTTTAGTTATTTTATAGTTTGTTTTATAAATTAAGGTTGATCATTTAACTATCTCATAAAGTCGCTTCTGCTTATCTTTAAATATACTGCCTCTAAACTTTCGCAAACTAATTTAAACTTTCTTTTATTTAAGTGAAGTAAATATTCTTCCCCTACAAATCGTCCTTCAGTTAGTATTTTTAACTTATTATTTTTATTTATAATCTTATTTTTTTATTACTTTAATTGTTTTTGAAGTATTTTTTGGTAAGGCATATTTATTTAAAGAATTATAAGCCTGTATATTTTCTCTTGATATTAAATCTTATTAAATTTCAGTATTATCAACTTTTTTGAATAACTATTTAATAATAATAAAAAAAGAATATAATTATTATAACTTATAAAAATATATTATTTAATTTAAATAAAATTTAAATTTTTTTAATTTTTGAACGAACAAAATATATATTGTTACTCCGAAATTTCCTTATTTAATTATTACAAAAAAATCACATTTATCATTTTCATTAAAAACCACATCATTTTTCTAAACTTTTATTGTTTCACAATTTAAATATATATTTCTTAAATTTTTTTCCTACCAATCTTTGAAAATATAAATATTTTTTAAAAAATTTATTCCATCCTGGATCTTAATTAATTCATGTTCTTTTAATATAAACTAAAATTTTTATTTGCTTAAGAAAGCTACATGTGTTTAAGTTAAACATTTTACAGTTGCGCTTCTTTTTTCATCATTAGACAAAGCTATTTCTCCAAATCCTTTACCATCTTCTAATATGGCTTCCATTATAACTTCAGAGAATTCATCATTATTTTTAATATTCGAAATTAAGGAGGGATGTTTTTTTTTTATTAATTTTTTTCTTCATCATTTTCACTTATCATTTTTTTATATCTTTTAAATATACCGACTTATCCCTTTAGTATTACATAAAAATTATCACCAAAGTCCCCTTAAGAAAAGATCACTTAATCTTTATCAAAGAATTTATATTCCATATATTTACAGCATAATGTTACTACATTTTATGTGTCAGGAGTTTATAAATAAGAATTAAAAAAAATCAAATCTTAAAAAATCTGTTGTAAGTCATTTATTTACTTATTTGTACGTTATTAACATGAAGTTTCAAGAATTTTTTTTACTTATTTTAACTTTAAATTGTTTAATATTAAATATAGTTATATTAAATTTATGAATATAAATAACATAAATGATTTTATTATTATTTTTGTTTTAATTATTTATTTTTATATACATCAATTTCTTTATCTCCAATTATTTCCATTTCTAATATTTACCTTTTATTATTTTAATAATATTAAAGCTTTATTATAAATTATAATTAATTTTTTTATATAGTGTTTTTGAATTTTTAAATAATAAATAGTTTTTTTAATTATTTTATTATTAAATAATTAAATGTTTTTCAATTTATATATTATAGAAATCTTATAAAATTATAATTTTCTTATTTAAGATAATCTCTTTTTAATTTTTATTAATAAAACTATATAGATTATTATAACTTTTTTTAATATGGAAAATAAAAATAAAAATTAATATTATTTTTTTAAAATATTATAAGAAAGAAAAAATAAATTAATTAATTTTTTTTTATATATATTATTTAATTATAACTTTTAACCAAATAGTTCAATTTTTTATTTTATATAAATTATTTTTTATGAATACAAAGAATAATTTTTTTTTTAATTTGTTATTATTTTAAAGTAACAGGAATATTATATATAAATTAATTTTATTTGCTTTTAACTAATAAATATTTTAAATAAATTTTTAAATATTGTCATTTTATTTTTTTATTAAAAAATTATATATATATCCTTAAAAAAAAAGTTAATGTCATATAAATTCACTTTTTTTATTTTTATCTTTATTTATAAAATATATTCATTTTATAATTGTCAGAACAATAAATTTCTGATTAAATAAAATAATATAAATTTTTAAAATTTGACAAGTTAAAACTAACTTTTTACATATGGAAATTAATAGTATATCTATTAAGTTTTAAAAAATAATGACTTATAAATATAGCAATTTCAATATTTATAATTGTATTCTATTTTTTCTAATAATGCAGAAGGAAATTAAATATTGACCTTCGAAAATTAATCAAACATTGTTGCAATACAAGAAATATATAACAAGCTTATTGTAGTTTTTAAGAATGGAGAAATTTAAATTGTAATTTTAAAAGGGAAAGAAGATAATTAAATAGTATTCAAAGTTTAAACTGAAATAAATCAAATTTAAGGAACTTTTAAATTTTGTAAAATTAAAAAATTATTTATATTATTTTTACTTATATAAAAAAGAATTGGCTGAAAATTATTATTTAGCATTATATGGAAAATCTATGAAAATTTATAAAATTTATAAAAACGAAAACTCAATAAATTTATTTTATTAACAAAAGGATCAATATGAAAAAGGTATTAAAAATATAATTCTTGTTAATGAAAAAATATATTATTTCGTTGAAAACTAGCTTTTTATAATAAACTTAGTTAATTAATAAATAGAATTAAGTTTTTAAGCATAAAATATTGAATATAAATAAGGTTATGTATTTTAATTATTTAATAACATAACTTTAATCATTCCTTATGAAAATTAAATTAAATAAGTATTAAAACTAAATAGTACAAATTAATATAAATAAGAACTTATTAATTTAGTTAATACAATTGAAGGAATAATATGGGCAGATAGCTTTATTTAAGGAGAAATATTAGTTAAAAATTATGATGGGAGTTATGAATTAATTTAATTTAATAAAAATAACAATTTAGTTAAAAATGAGAAATTTAATTTTTCTTTTACATTTGACAAAATATATTAACATAATAAATATACTTATTTTGTTAATAAAACTGAAGATTCTTATAATATTTAATATTGCAACACTTGTGAAGATTAAAAATTTATAAAATTTTCGCATATAGCTCCTCCTTTATGTATAGGTATATTTGATTTTATTTAATTTTTTAATTAATGAAATTTTAGCATGTAGTTATAGATGTGAATATTGTGAAAACGAATATCATTGTACTCAGTGTGAATTAGGATTTTACTCAATTCAAGGAGTTTGTAAATGTCCAAATAATTTTGAAGAAGTTGAAGGAATGTGTTAAAAAATCAGTTAAATTGATATTAGAATCAAAATTATTGTTGTTTCGGTTATAAGTGTTATATTCTTAATGGCCGTTAGTATAAAATTGCTTAAATTAAAAGAAAAATATGATGAAAAGTAAAGAATCAAAAAATTATAATAAGAAGAAGAAAATGATACAGAAGATTAATTTTAAAATAATATAGAATATATCGATGATGAAGAGGATAATATGACTTAGAATAATTAAAATTTAAAAAATAATTAATTAAATATTAATTAATAAGAATTATAATATAATAATAAATGGGATTTAAATGATGTGGATTGAGATTTCTAATTTTATAAAATTTAAATAAATATAATATATTTTTGTAAATTTAAAAGTTTTTCTGAAAAAGAAAATAGATTTAAGTATATTTATTTTTATTTTATTAAAATATATATAAATAAACAAAAATATATATAATAGAATCTATTTAAATTTGAATAATAATATTTATTAAAATACACTAAAATATATTAAAATATATTTTTTATTATTTTAAAATGATTTTATTTCTTGTATATAAGTTAATTATAATCTGATTCATATATTAATATTTTTACACTTTAATTTTGATATAATTTCATAAATAAATAAATAATATTAATACAATTTTTTTTTATAAATATATTAAATTAATATATGAAAATGTGTTTAGCAATAGAAATTAAAGACGCTTTTATAAAAATTATTTATTAATTTAAAAAAAAAATTAATATCTTTTTAAAATATTGAACATATTTTTTTTAAAAAATGCATAATTATTTTATATAAAAGAAGTTATAGTATATTTTTTAATCCAAGTGTATTATTTATTTAATATAATGATTTATAAATATATGTAATTATTAAAAAAGATATATTTGTAAATATAAATATTTTTATAAAGTATTTTTTATTTTGTTTGCTTTTGATTGAAAACTATGTTATAATAATATTTTTCTTGAATAATATTAAATACGGTGTACCTTATACTTACGAAAAATATAAATATAAAAACATAAGAAATTTAATACAAAAAAATAAAATATTTTAAATCAAAATCATAATCATAATCCATCTTCTTCTTAGGCTCCTTAAGGTGTTTCTGCTCCTTATGCAGCAGATGAAGTTCCACGTAATTTACCAAATATATGTAAAAGTATAACTATACCCATAAATACAAGAGAAATAACTAAAACAGATCTTGGTTGTACTTTAAGACCAACATCAGATGTACCTACATTTACTGGTCCAGAACTTTTTGATCCACCAGATGATTTTCCTGTAGCTATATTTATTAAATTATTAATAAATATGAATTATATTATTTTTATATAATATACCTGGTTTGGGTTAAGCTCTTTTTTTTAAAGCTGCTTATAAATTTTCGTTAGAAGACATTATTATTTATTTATTTATTAATATTTTTTTGCTAAAGCTATTTTAATATTTTTTTTTTTAATTAAAAATATATATTATAAATTAAAGATTATTTTTTTGTTTTTATGTACTTAATAAAATTATTAAAAAATACACGTGTTATTATGTTTTCATAAACAAAAAATAAAATGTATTAATAATTTTAACAATATTTAATGTTTATTATTTAAATTAAAGTAAAATTTATAATATTAAATGCATAAAATTATAATTTAATTATTGTGGATAAATTCATTTTATAGAAATTAAGTACTAAAAACAAAATTTAAAAAGATGACATTTGAAGAATATATAATAATTTTTGTTTAATATATATATATTACTTTGCAGAGATGCTTTTTTATTATTCTAAGTTCATATTAAAAATTTAATCAACGAATAAAAAAAAAATGAATAACTATTTCTTTTTTTGTAGATTAAGTGACATAAAAATAATAATAAAGAAAATATAAAAAAAGATAAAAAATGTAATATATTTTTCCTTTAAAAATAAAACATAAGAATAAAATAGTGATTTTTTATTATATTTTAATAATAATATTTTTAAACAAATACAAACTTTATAAAAATAATAAATAAAATATAATATACATGCATATAAATAAACATCATTTTTTGCTTTTTTTAATTCTCTTCATATGTTTAAGGTTTTTTTTAATTTTTTTTATAACTTTGAAACCTTAGCAATTTTGAATTTATTTTTTTATATTTCTCCAAACTTTTTTTTAGTAAACTAAGCTTTTTTATCTAATTCAATTAATTCATTAGCAATATTATTTTGTCTTTTTTTTCTAGAAATTTTTTCAATTCCTACTCCATAATCACTTCCTCCGATAACAGTTCCTACTTAGAAGTATTTAGGAATATTTTTCATATCACTTGATTTAAAATGCATTTTGGGATTAATATATCCTTTAAGTTTTAATAATACTAATTAGTTTTTTTCTTCAAGAGTTAAATTAGTTTTTTTTTGTAATCCATACCATTAATCTAATGTATTTTGTTTTTGTTCTAAACGTTCTCTTTTTTCAGCATTTGTTTCTTTTAATGGTTATATTTTATCTATTTTTTAATCCCTTAAATTATTAAATTAATAATTTTCCTAAAATAATTTATTTGCTTAAAGTTTATTTTCTTCATTATAACTAGTTCTAAGAGTAAATCCACTTCCATCGTTTGGTACTATATATTTATTGTAATCTTTTTTTAATTTTTTTAATAATTAAATAAGTAGTTTTTATTGTTACCTAATAATTTTTCTAAATATGAACATTCAGGAGTATGCTTAACCATTATTTTTTTCTTTTTTAATGTATAAAAAAATTTATTTAATTTTTTTTATAAACTCTATTTTTTGATTTTGTTTTTGTTTTTAGTTTTATGTTTAATTTTTATTATTATTAAATATTAATTTTATACTATAATTAAATTCTAATTTTATTGTTTAAATATTAATATTCGATATAAAATATTTATTTTTATTTATAAAAATATCTGTATTTGTAAATATAAATAATAAAAAAAGTAAATATACTTATAGTTTAAATAAAATCTAAAAAAAAAAAAAAATACAACAAAAACATACAAAATATATTTATCTATGTTATTTTTTCTTTTTCTTGTTTGTTTTTTTAAAAATTAACCATTATCAACCAAAAAGATCACCCATATCATAATCTTCTTCGGCTTCTTTTTCTTCAACTTTAGCTATATTTTTATATAAAAAAAATATATAAAATATTAAATTTACGTTGTTCTTTAGCAGGTGCTTAAGCAGCAGGTTTAGCAGCGGCAGCAGCAGGGGCAGGTGCTTATCCAGCTCCTTCAATTTACTTGAATTTATATCCAGTTTCGAGTCCAATAGCAGCAAGATTTTTGAAAGCGTTAGCAACTAAGTGAGGAACAGCAACATCAGTAACATATCCACTTTCTAAGGATATAGCAGCAAGATTCTTAAGCCCAGAAGAGAAGTTAGAAAGGATTTGATCGATTCCAATAGAAAGACTTTCTTCATTTAAGATATCTCCACCATCGTAGTCAAGATAAACACTCATACCATAAGAGAAGGGTTAGACGTTCATTTTTTCGAGCAAAGCAACTTCGGAGTTTCCGATTTTTTTTCCTTTTACACAGACATGGACTTCTTTAGTAATTTCAATTTAACCTTTTTAGATTTTTGTAGATATTTATAAAGCATGGAAAAAGTTAATTTAAGAGGGATCCATATTGGTGGGACCTGGAGGAATAAATACGTCTTTTTAAGCAATAGTGCCAACTCTAGCAGGGGCAGGAACTACGAAAGATTCTATTCTAGGTTTCAAAACAGATATAGGTTCATTGTGGAAAATATAACCAATTTTCTACTTTAAATGTTATCCTTCTAATAATGCTTTTAATTAAGGTTTAGGGGCTCCAAATTGTCTGTACCAATCGTAATTTTCGCCTTCGGGAAGAGGTTAAGATTTCATTTGAATGGCTTTTCTAATGACAGTCTTTTTTTTTTTTACGTTTTTGTTTTTTTTTTTTCATTTTTTTTATTACATTTTTTCCGATAACTAAAATGTTATTTTAACCGAGTGATCTTCTAATTTTTTAAAGTTATAATGCTCCTACGTTTTCTAATGTGCAAAAAGCTATTTGGTCATATTTGGAAAGGAGCTCGTAAAATCTTCTGATGAAATCGTTTTTCTTAGCTCTTTTATCAACTTTTACAGGTGGCATTCGTGATTTTTTTTTCTTTTTTAATTTTTTTTTTTCTTTTAATTTTTTTTTTGTATATTTATAATTATTATATATAAATATATATTTTTTTATATGTTTTTTTTATTTTTTCTCTGTTGCTTTTTAATCTTTTTCATATATTTAAACTCTAATAAATTTCACTTTTCGATAAAGTTAATGAAATGAAGGAGTTATTATAAATACATATAAATATTTAAATATATAATAAAGATTATTGATTAAAATATTTATATATTTAGTGTTTAAAAAAACAAAAAATATATAAATATAAAAAAAAGATTTTTTTATTTTATATTTATCCATTAAAAATTTTTATATTTATCAAAAATATAATTCTTTTTAATAAATAAAATAATTAAATTTTAAAAAAGTATTATTTTATATTTACTAAAAATTAATTAAAGTTTAAAATATTAAAAAAGTAATGAGTTAATAAGAACAAAAAATAAAGCTATTTTAATAATTATTAGAGAAAAATGAAAAGCATGTTGATAGGTTAAAAATATTAAACGAATAATTAAAAACAGTAAGAAATAATTAATAAAAGATAATATATATATATAAATTAAAAAAAGTAACTTGAGAATGAATAAAAAAAAGTTCTCAATAAAGATAGGAGATTTTAGATTTATAAAAGCAAAATTTACTCTTTAAATAAAAATGCGACTAATATGAATAATAATATAATGAAGAAAAAAAAATGTCAAATAAATATTTAAAACAATTATAAAACTAATTTTAATATTTACTATGGATAGATTAAATGAATATTTAAGAAATTAAATATTAAAAACCTTATAGACATAGATAATTTAAATCGTTATTATCATTTTCTGAATATTCTGATAATACAAATCCTTAAAATAATTTATCTTCTTCCGAGGCTATCTCAAAATTATTTGCGAATTCTTCAGATAATAAAACAAGTACAATTACATCTTTAAGCCAATAATCAGAGGAAGAAGCTCGAGTATCAAATAAATAAGTTTGTAAATAATTAAAATTAGATGACTAAAGTATTTTTGATTTTTAAAAATAAAATAATAATTTAAATTAATGAATATAAAAATATATTTAGATTAAGATATAATAAAGGCAATAGGAAAATCAATAGTGGCCCATAATTATGATAGCGAATATAAAAAAGAAGAAAGTTCCCCTTTATTTTTAGAGAAATCTTAGAAGTCTCCTTTAATAAAATTAATAAGATAGTAAACTTTAGTTAAAGAAGTATAAAATAATCATTCACTTTCGCTTATTTAGGAAAATGGGGAAGATATAGAATAGAATATTGAAAAAACTAATTAAATACAATATTTACATGTAAAAACTAATAGAAGTCCTTAATAATAAGCACAATAATAATAAAATAAAATTATATTTAATAGAATACAAAGCAAAAATAATTCAACTATTATTTTGAATATATAAAATATTAATGAAAATTAAAATTAATTTTTAAAGCAATCGAAACAATCAGTAAAATCAATTGTATTTAACCATAGAAAAGTAAATCATTATTAAGATGAAGAGAATAAAGAAGAAAATAATGAAGAAGTAATAGTAGATAAATAGCAAATTAAATCATTAGTATTTATTTAAGAGTATAATGATTAGATTATTTAACATAATTAAGATAATAATTAATTTTAAAAATTATATGAAGGATTTTATGTTTTAGGATTTGATAAATAAGATATGAAAAATTTTAGTGATACTAATTCTTTTTATACAGAAGTTTTTACACCTGGGAAAATCCTTTATTAATTTCCTAATCATAATGAAGATTTGTATTTAATTTTTATTTTACTTTTATCAATTTTTTTAAATATGTTTTTTTTTTTTTTTAGTTAAATTCCTAAAATCATTCATGAGTTTGCTTTTCCATTTGGTTGTAGAGCAAAAAGAGTTAGATTAGGTACTTCTTTTCGTAAAATAAAAGAGTATTTATTTTTAATATGAAATTAAATATATTAATTTAAAAATAAGGATTTTATTTTCTGGAATAAAAAGTGAGTTATATGATAAGTTTTTTGTTTTTACTGTTAAGAGTGACTAATATTACAACAAAAATAATAATAGTAATAATAAAGTTCTAGAATCTATTAATCCACATAGATTGCTTTATTGCATATGTTTGAAAATAAAAGATTATATAGAAACTGTTAAAAATATTTTAATAAAATAACATTAATATTTATTTATTTATTTTTTTAATAAAAGACTTAAAACGAAAGTGATTTTTAATTAGAAAATATAAAAAAAAGAGTGTTTTGGAAAGGTTATAAAATATATTGCTATATCACATATTACCCTTTTTATGAATTATTCCAAGATCTTCTTCTTAGTTTAATTAGTATTTAAAATTAAAAATATGAAATTATTTATATTATTTTCTTGTTTTTAAACAAAAGATCATGTAAAAATATCAAGAATAAGCATGTTTGAAGATAAAAAGGATATAAATAATAAAATATTTTATGATATAGATGGAGATTGTATCCAAAATATCATACATTAAAGCAGAGATTTATTATTTCCTGATCAAAAAAAATGTATTATAAATGACTTTTAACAAATTTTAACTATAAAGACTCCGTTTGGATAAATAAATTACTTTATATAATAATAAGAAATAATAAATACAAAAACCCATAAATGGAGTTTAGTTTTAACTTTATCTAATTTATAATTGAAAGAATTAATGTTCATTTTTAACGCTATTTTGCATGAAAATACAATAATATTTATAAGCGAAAATGAATGCTTATTGACATAAACAATGTATTATAAAATATATTTATTTTTATAATTAAATAATTAAAAAAGACATACTTTCGAATAACTTATTTATCCTTTTTAATGGCCTCATCCTATTATTTACATGATTCCTGAAACTCTTTTGGATTTATTAGATTCTCCAGTTCCTTTAATTATTGGAATTAATAAATCTAGCTCTTTTATTTAAGGAAAAAAATATTATTAAAGATATAATGATCATGTTTTTGTTGATTTAGATAGACAAAGCATTATTTTAGGAAATTAAAAGTTAAGGAATATTTTATAAAACGAAATTCCTTATTTAAATAATTTAAAAAACAAAGTCGAAAAATTATACATACAGATTAATTAAAATGGTTTAAAAGATTAAAAAGCTTAAAATAAATTTAAATCATTTTTTAAAAATTCGGGTAATAATTAAAACCAAAATGAAAAATAAGATGTAAAATTAAAATTCATGTCTACTAAATCTGAAGATGATATTGCTGAAATTTTACTTAATACTTTTAATGAAAGTATTAGATAATGTTTTATTGACATTTTGCCTAAAAAAGATGAATTTATTAATGAATTATAATAATAGGTACATTTTTTTTAATTAAAATAAATTATATTATTATGTTTGTATTTTTTTTATTAAGGAAATTGATTATCAAAAATTTAGTTAAGAAGTTATAAAAAAAGCTTATACGAAAGATAAAGAATTTTTAATTAAATTTATAAACTCTTAAATTTTCACATATTTCATTTAAAATTATTATGATAATTGAGGGATTTTTAATAAAAAATAATTATATATTTTGTATAAAATATTATGAATAAATATATTAAATTAAAAGTTAAAAGTTATTAAAATAAATAAAAAAAAATATAATCAATTTAATAAAAACATTTTTAAAATAAATTAATTTTAATTTTTAATAAAATAAATGAAAGAATCCTAATTATAATCATAAAAATAAATAATTAATTCAATAATATATATATTTTTTACTTTAATTTATAAAGATTATATATTTATATATATTTGGTATAATAAAATAATAATACTTTAGTTATATATATAATTTATACTTAAAAAATATATTTTTTTATAATAATATTAATTAATTAGAATTATAATATATTTATACATTTTAATACGCATTTATTTATTATTTATATAAAAAGTAAAATTTATATTATTAAGATAATGATTTAATTTTATCTATTTTTTTAAAAAAATATTTATTTATAAAATAAATATTTAAATTATAATTATAAACTTATATTTAATTTAATATTACAAATAATGTATTGATTACAAAATATCATTAGAAGAATATTCAAATAATGTTATGTTTCAAAATAATTAAAAAAATTTATAAATATTTAGATTAATTTTTGCAATTTTATTATTATTGAAATAATATTTTTATAAAATAGTATATATTTTCCCTTTAATTATATTTAATTTTAAAATCCGTACTAAAATTCAAAATAATTTTTTTTTCTTTATAAAAATATAAAGTATAAATTATAATAAAAAGAATAAGATTTTTAATAATTTTATATTAACTAAATATATTAATGCAAAATTTTAATTTTAAAAGGAAAAATTTTATTCATTTTTTTAGAATTGCAAATATTAAAAATATATATTTTAATTTAAAATTAATACGTCAGTATAAATAAGTAAATATTATTAATAATTAAATAATTAATTTATTATATATTATACTTTTACGTGCGAAACAAAAGTATTATATATACAATATTAATTACATAACATAAAAACTAAAAATAAATTCTAATTAATAAAAAAAGAAAAAAGAAAAAACTATATAAATAAAAAATAAAATATATATATATATATATATATATATTTATATATATATATATATATATATATATTATAAAAATATATAAACAAAGCAATATTAAAAAAATACACCTAACATTTTAATATAATTATAAGAAAAAAATTAAAAGCATAAATAAATAAATTAATTAAAAATAAATATATATATTTATATATATATAAAAAAATGTTTATGCGTAGTACTTATTAGAAAAGTTGGGAAAATACCCATACAATTTAACAATATGCTATATATACAGAACCGAATCTTTCAGTAAAAGATTAAATGGAAGATGCATATTTTTATGAAGAAGTAAGCGAAAGTGAATGCGTTTTTGGAATTTTAGATGGTCATGGGGGAAGATAAATATCTGAATTTGTAGCGATAAATCTTCCTAAAATACTTACCGAAAATTTGAAATAAAACTAAAATTTAGAAGATATTAGTGAATTATTAATAGATACTTTTGCTCTTTTAGATGAAAAAATTAAATAAGAAATAAGTTCTAAAGCTGAAGAATGTGGTACTACATGCACTATCGGCGTAATAAGATAAGAAAACGATTAAAAAGTGCTTTATATTGCTAATGTTGGGGATTCAAAAGCCGTTTTATATTCTAAAAATATCGAATAATTAACAGTAGATCATAGAGCTTCTAATGAAGAGGAAAAAAGCAGAATAAAAAATGCAGGAGGATTCGTAAGTATGGGAAGAATTTAAGGTGAATTGGAAGTCAGCAGAGCTTTTGGAGACTTAAAATATAAACTTAAAGGTGTCAGTATTATACCTTATATTAGCAAAACAATACTTGAATAATATGAAGAAAACGCTATATATAATATTGTTATTGCTAGTGACGGATTATGGGATTATGTTGATGAGAAATTAATTGAAGTATATTGTGGAGAAAAATCAAAATTCGAGTGGAGATATTGCCTCTAAATTAAAAAATTTAGCTAAAAGTAAAAGATCTTAAGATAACATTTCCGTTATGGCAGTTTAGGTCAGCTTTTAAGAATGTTATAGTAGTATTTTAGGTTGATTTTTTACTTTTGATTTTTTTTTATTTTATTTTTGGGAGCAGTTTTAGTTTTTTTTTTTTTACTTACTTTCCTTTTTTTAAATTAAAGAAAAAATATTATTTTTATTAATGTATTTTTTTATTTTTTTTTATGTAAATTTTTGAAATAAAAAAATATATTAGATGTTATTTTTTTTTGATTAGTTTAATCTATAATTTATTCTTTTTTTATTTATTATTTTTAGGTTTCGTCAGTTTATTTTTTAAATACTTTTAAATTGATTTTAATAAAATAAGATTAAGTAAATTTTAAAAATATTATAAATATTTATTTTATAATTTTATTTAATATTTAAATTTTTAATATTTTTTACTAAGTTAAGAAATAATAATTTTTTAATTCTATATATAATTATAACTATATTTTTTATTATACATATTTTTAAAAATTTAAACTAATTAGAAATTCAAAGATTTTTGTAAAAAAATTTGTCAAAATAAATTTTAACGAATAAATGGGAATAGTATATAAAACTTTAAAAAGTAAATGTATTTTTAAATAACATAAACTATTTTAAAACATAATAAGTAAAATAAAAATATTTATATTATTTTTAAATAAGATTTATTGCTTTTATTTACGTTAAATTAATTAAAGAATTATTTTTTATTTATCTTTTAATAATTTATTTCGTTGTAATTAATTGAATTAGGTTATTTAAAAAATAGAACAATTAAATGTAAATTCATCAATATTTAAATACTTTTATTATAATTTTTTTGTACAAAACAATAAATTCTTGATTTCTTTTTGAACTATTAATAAGTAATCACTTATTATTTATAAACATTTTATTTCTATCATTATTATTTAATAATTAAAATATTATGCATACATCAAAATTTTAGCTTGATTGTACTTCTAAGGTAATCCTATCTGCATGAATTGCTATTTTGATTCTTAATTTTATGACAAAATATAAAAAACATAAAGTAAAAAAGGTATTCTTATTGCACTTTAAATCAAATATAATATTAAATTTTTTTTAAATAATGATAAAAGCGTAATTGCTTCAATCTTCTTATTATCTTAAATCGTTATTGATTTTATTGAATAATAAGCCTCTTATTGTATAATTATTAAATAATATCTATATTATGTAATTTTTCAATAAACTTTAAGATTCTATAGAGTTATAAGACTATAAATAAATGCATAATTATAAATATTCTAAATTATAAAATTAGAAATACTTTGAATTCTAGTTTAGATATTTAATCGCTTTCTTTAAATGATTTGAAATTATTAACCAAATTCCTTCTTATTATTTTCTGATTTTTAATACTTCATTAAGTAATTTTCTTGAATTTATTTTGCTTTAAATCCTTTAATTTACTTTTTTAACTAACTAATACTTATTTATTATTATTTAATTTATAATATCCATCAAAAAAAATATATAAATAACACTTTGTGCTTTTTATAAAATTTGTCTAAAATATTATACCTTTTAAAAAAAAAATATCTTTTTATACATTCCCATATTAAAACATGCAAATAATTAACTATTATTCAAAATATTATGTCTTAATTAAATTTTATTTTCTATTTAATAATTAAATATTTTTTTTTATTAAATTTTTTAAAAGTTCTAAAATAAATATTGCTACTTCTGTAAAATACCGTCAATACATAAAAATGAATAAAATAATTCAAAGTTTTTGTATTTTAAAAATCTAAAACTATTTTACATTATTTTGTTCTAAAGTCGCAATGAAGTTTTTTTTTAAGGCTTCTTTATTTAATTGTAATTACATTAAAATTTAAAATATTTATTTTATGACGTATATTTTTATTAAAATAATTAAAATTCTAGAGTATCCTGAAAATATATTTAAACAATCATTCTTTATAAAATAAATATTAAATTAAACTTAAAAATTATTAAGAGTATTTTTAGAAGAAAAAAACAAAAGCTTTTAAAAGATTAAGTTCAATGATATATAAATTTGTTTACTGATCATATTTTAATAAAAAAAATATTTAGAAATATTTATAATTAACATGCTTTATTAATAACTTAAAATATCATATATTAGAATTTATAATTCTAAAAAATTAATATCTGATATTATTACTAGATTAAGTATTCATTTAAAAAATCAATAAATTAAATTTAAAATTTCATAAAATTTATGTTTTATATATAAAAAAACATATTGTTAAACAAATGACTTTTTTTAAAAAAATTTGTTTTATATAAAAATATTATTTTATATAAATATACATTTTAAATATTAAAATTATAATTTATAAAAATGGAAGTTAAAAATATTGATAACCCTTATCCAGTTTTTAAGAAACCACAATAAATTTAAGAAACATAAAAAGCATTAGAATTAATAGTAAAATAAATGTTAATTTAAATAAACATTATATCTAATTTTTTTTTAAATTAAAATGATAATTATATTTTAATTAATTAATTTAATACTTTTAGAAAACTATGAACGGTTTTTCAGATAAAATAATGTAACATCCTGATAAAATTGAATAAATAGAGTTGGTTTTAGAAGAATTAGATAGAATGTTAGTTGTACAAAATTTCAAAAATTTAAAATCATTAACATTAATAAATGTCAATTTACAATAAATTGAAGTAATTTAATGTATATTAAAAAAGAAAAGAAAACAAAAAAAATAAATATAAATAATAAGGGTTTAAGTGAACTTAAATTATTAGAAAATCTTTGGTTAAATGAAAATCATTTATAAAAAATATCTGGACTTTAAAATAACATTAATTTAAAATAATTGCATTTATCAAATAATTAAATTCGAACAATTTAAAGTTTAGAAAGTTTGAAAAATTTAGAAGTTTTATGGCTTTGCAATAATAATATAGATTCTTTATAGGGTCTTTAAAATTTATAATAGTTAAAATAACTTTGGATAGCAGGAAATTAAATAGAAGACATAAGAATAAATTTAGATAAACTATAAAATTTGAATGATTTAAATATTTCAGGTAATAAAATTTGTTCTTTTAAGGAAGCTTTGAACTTAAATCGTTTACCAAATTTAAAATAATTAAGCTTTTATGATCCACATTTTGGAGAAAATCCCATATGCAATTTATGCAATTATTAAGTAAAATAATACACATAATATAATATATATATATTTATATTTTTTAAATAAAAGACTTATGTCCTTTATCATCTAAGAAACATAACAAAATTAGATACTCTTTTTATTTCTGAAGAGGCTAAGTCTTTCGCCGAAGCAACGTTTATGAAGAAAAAAATGTATTATAACATGAGAATTAAAACTATGTAGAGAAGCTTTTCTACTTTAGGAAAGCTTATAAGAAAAGCTATGAAGATAAAATTAGACTCTTATAATGAAGATATAGCGAATATTTAATTGAAATTATGGTAATTGCAAAGCTAATTTAATAATTTAAAGGAAGACATAGAAATATAAAAATACTAAACAATGAAAACGGAAAAGCTAGAAGAAATAGGAAATTTAGAGCAAATATACGAAGAAATGAAGAGAAAATTATACGAGAACTCATCTTTATGTATTCATAAATTAATAACAGAGTTAGAAACAGGAGGCAATATTCGTTTAGAAGAAGGAAAAAGTAACGAAAAGTGGTATATAAGTTGTGAAGATTTAATAAAATCAAGATTTAATGCTGATGATATGATAGGATATGGTATATAGGATTTATAAATAAAAAGAGTAGTGAGAATTCATAATAGGTTTTTAAGAAATAAATTTGAGGAAAAAATGGAATCTTTAGTAGATATTTCGAATTCTAATTATAAGAAAAATTTAGAGTATCTGTTTTATGGAATTGACCCAAACGCTCCTTAAGAAATATATCATGTAATCGAAGAAGGGTTTCGACCTTTTTCTGAGTGCAAATAATTAGGACTTTGTGGATATACGCCACTTGTTAATAATATATTAGGGGCTGATAGTGCGAGATTGATGAGTTTTTTGAAAAAAAGTGCTACTAATTTATAAAAATAGGCCTTTATGAAAAAAAAATTTAAACATAATTTTAATGTGTTTCCCCCTGGATTGTTACTTATTTGTAAAGTATTAATGATAAAAAGTGTTTAGGATACTAAATAGCCCTTTTTTGACCATGATTAGGCGCCTTCAGATATTTTTAAAAACTATCCCATTGATAATACGTTGGTTTAGGAGGAAAATGCGGTATTTAGGACTAAGGAAAATGATAATAAACATAAATTATGGTTTGTTATTGATAATAATTTAGTTTTACCTGAGTATCTTGTGGAATATAATTACATTCTTAAAACTGAAAATTAAAATAAAATTGCGGATTTCGGGCCAAATAATTTAGGAGTATTAGATAATCCAGATGATGAGTTTATTTCTCCGAAAAATTTTCATGTTTATAAAAATGAACTTAACAATATTTATAATGCACTCTGTGAAGAAATTAATAATTATTAATTCGAAAATATAGAAGATCTTAAACACCCTAATCTAGAAATTAAAGCATAAGATCTTGATAGGGCTGATATTTCTTTAATAAAAATCCCTTTACTTAATTATTTTAAATTTTGTCTTTCTAGATCTTTCTTATATGAACTTAATCCTAATATTTTAACTGAAGCTAATGAAATTTCTTTGAACGAGGAAGTTAATTTTATTTATTTGTTTTTTTCTTTTTTAAATATATATTTTATTTTTTAGAATATCATTAATAGTAGAAAAGTATTTGGCAACTTTGCTAATCTTTCAAATATGAAAATAAAAGAAATTAAAGTTTTTAATAATTTATCAAATTTACATACTTTGATTCTTTCTTATAATAAAATTTTGGAAATTAAAAATTTAGAAAATTATCCATTACTTGTTAATTTGGATTTAAATCACAACCAAATTTAGAAAATTTCTGTGGGGTTAATAGCTCTTAAACATCTGGAAATTTTAGATATTTCTCATAATGATATTTCAGAATTAAAAGATATCCAGAATTTATAAGTAAATAGTAATTTAGATAATTTAAAAGTCATATTTAACCCATTTACTGAAGGAAAAGATATTGCTAACTAAATTGTTGGATTTTTACCCAATTTATTATATTTAGATAATAAACCAATTAAGTATTTTTTTTTAATTTTTTTTTTTTTTAAATAATTAATAGCAAAGAAATTCTTCAAAAAAATAAAGAAAAAATAATTTTAGAAATAACAAATGAAATGATATAATAATATGGAAAAATAATGTAAAGTAAAAGTTTGAATTAATTAGAAACTAATTGGAAAGAATCAATAGAAATAATAAATCTTTCTCACTTAAAAATTAGAGGTATAAAGGGCCTTTAATGTTTAATAAACTTAAGATAAGCTAATTTTAGTCATAATTTAATTGAAAGAATTGAAGGGTTATAAAATTGTAAACTTTTAGAAGAAATAAACTTCGAAAAAAATAAAATATCTCATATTTTTGGTTTAGAGAATTTAATTTATTTGAAAAAAATGGAATTAGGTAAGAATAAAATTCAAGAACTAAACGGAATATCTCATTTATCAAATCTTATGTAACTTTCTTTAGAAGATAATTATATTGAAAGCCTTGAAGAATTCCCTGAATTGAAAAATCTTATGGAATTATATTTAGGAAACAATCGAATTGTGGAATCTAAAGAAATAGTGAATTTAAAATAACTTTAAAAGCTTATAATTCTAGATTTATCAGGAAATCCTTTCTCTAGAGACCCTAATTATAGAATATATACTTTGTTTGTGATAAAAAAACTTAAAGTTATATATATTTATTTTATTTATTAAAATATATAATAATTTATTTTATTAATTAAAATATATAAAATTTGTATTTTGTAAACATAGGTTTTAGATGGAATATCTATAGAAGCATCAGAATAATAGCTTGCAAAAGATTTGTTCACAGGAAGACTTACAGAAGAAATATTATAGTCTCGTTTGGGTGGATAACATCCATAGGAAATATTAGAGTTAGATTTATCAAATTGTAAATTGAAGGATTTTGATGATGTATTTAATTCTTCATGCTTTCCTAATATAACTGAATTAAATTTATCTGCAAATCTTTTTTAGTCAACAAGAATGATTGGATATTTGCCTAATTTAAAAATTCTTATATTAAATTCAAACAAAATTGAAAGCCTATTTGCAAGTTAAGATTCTTCAGTATAAAAATGTTTAAATGGATGTCCTAATTTGGAAATTCTAGATATTAGTAATAATTAATTGAAAGATTTCAATGGTTTATAATATTCTAATTTAAAAGAACTTAAAATACTAAAGGCTTATAGTAATGAAATATTTAGAATCGAGTATCTTGAATAGCTTAAATCTTTAAAAGAATTAGATATAAACCATAATAAAGTAAGATAATTTGATCCTTAATCTTTTATAGGGTAAAACCCAATTAAATGCCTAAAAATCGATGATAATGGACTCAAAAATTTTAACCATATTTAAAGATTATAAAAACTTTAGCATTTGTTTGCTAATTCTAATAGAATAAATGATATTCCAGATATTGATAAACTGACTGAACTTTAATATTTAAAAGAGTTGGAACTAAATGGAAATGCTCTTTCAAGAAGACCTGGTTATAGAGAGGCTGTTTTAAGAAAATTACCAGGATTATTATATTTAGATGGAAGGGTATATATAAAAAATATTAAAAAAAAATATATATATATATATATATATTATTATATAAATATTTTAATTTTATATTTTATATTTTTATTTTTTATATTATATATATTTTTTTATATATATAATTTAATAAAGGAGGTTATAATTGATGAAAGAAGTGATATTTTACTCTAAAATATTGAAAAAATATAAAATTTACCTAATATTTACTCCTAAAATAGCAATAATTAGAAAGGATTTGTAATTAATATATATAAATATTATATATATTTCTTATTATTTAGGTTTAGATTAAATTAAATTCTATTAATTTTGATGGAGTTTTTAGTAAAAAATAAAATTAAAATAATTTTTAAAATTTATAATAATGAAAAAATTTTAATTCTCAAGATAGAAAAAAAAGAAAGTAATTTTTTTATTCTATTTTATACTTTATAAATAATTATATAATTTTATTTGTGTGTTCCTATTAAATTTATCAAAAGAATATAATTTAATCTATATATTTATTTGAACAAAATTCAAAATATAAAATATAGTATTGTTTATACTTTTTTTATTTTTTTACGTATTATATTTATAAATAAAAGAAAAAATTGTTATTATAAAGAAAAAATAATTATTATAGAGAAAAAATAAAAAAATTTAAATTAACTAAAAACAAAAAATAAATTAATAAAAATAAAAAATTAATAATAATGGATTTTGACAATTGCAACTATGTAATTAACAATGCATAATAATTGATAAGATTATTACTTGGTTAAGCAAACACTGATAATAGTTGTAATGAAAACGGATGTATTGAATAAAATGGTAAATTGAAACAAAATATAAATTTTTAAATTTTTAAAAAAATTAAATTAGAAAACTTAATGATGGGAAGAGAAACACCTTCATTTGAAAATAGCATAGTAAATACAGTCTTTGTTATTGTTGGAATGGCATTATTATATGCATTATTGAATTCTTTTATCAATAAAAAAAAAAAAAATATTAATTAAAAATAAAGAATAAATAATAATGAAGACAACAATAATAATAATGATGGAAATAATTTCACAAATTGAATATTTATTTTTTATATATTTATAAAAGATTTTATATGTTTAATATATTTAATATAGTTTTATTAATAAATATAGATTTATTTATATATAATATTATTATAAATTTTTTGAATATAAAAAATAAAAATTATTCGATAAATTTTTTTATTATATTTAAATTAATAATATTAAAATCAATTTACAATAATTTTAATTTTTTTTTATTTTATATTTATTTAATTTAATTAAAATATTGTGAATAAAATGCATATACTTTTTTTAACTACGAAAAAAAAAAATATTATAATTATTATTATTGAAAAAAAATGAAATAATAATATAAAAATAATTCAATTAAAATATATATATATAATCTTAATCTATTTTTAAATAATAAATATAAATAACATTAAATGAAAATAATATTTTTTAAAATAAATAAAAAATACTTAATTATGAAGAAGGAATATATATAATATTAAATAGAGTTTTTACTTAATTAAGCTTTATTAAAGAAACAAAAATATTAAGAATATTAAATAAAAATTATGAATTATATATTGTAATGTATTCTTAATAAAATTAAAAATAATAATCATTTAAACAGCAAACTTTTTTAAAAACGTAAGTTTAAAAAGTATATATTTAAATATATTATGGTAAAATTCTAATATAAGCAATTAAATATAAAGCAATATAGTTTTATTAAATAAAATAAAACTTTCATAAATTTAAGAACATAAAATATAATAAACAAAATTGTTAATAAAACTAAAATCTAAAATATAATTCTTACTAAAAATAATTAGTTTATTGATAATGATTATTAATCAAAATATAAAATTTTAAAATTAAATATTATTAGATTTAATTCTAAAAACAAATTAGATTAATATTAATTACGTAAGTTAAAATTTTAAATTAATAAACTAAGATTTTATAATCTCAAATTAATAATAAAAGAACTATATTAAATGCTAATTTGAAATATTTTTAAAAAGTTCTATATCATAAAAAATTTAAGTGCTTTTAAAATAATCATTAAAAAATTTATATTTTAAAATATTAATTAATTCAATTGAAATAAATAATTAAGCTTTTTATTAAATAAAAACTTCAAAATATATGAATACTTTAAAACTTTTTGTTGAATTTAAATTATATATAATTTTTATTTAAATATAAGCAAATATAAATTATTGAAAATAAATATTTTATTTAATTTTTTTTTAAATTATAAAAGTATTAAAAAAAATTATAACAAAATATAAATTTAAATGTAAAATTAAGATTTATCTTTTTATACAGTATAGGCTTTTAATAAAAATTATCCTTCTTATGACTAGTTAGATCCTTTTGTTGGTAAATTATTAATATTATGATTTTATTAAATTTAATTTTAATTATTTTTTTTTTAAAAAAAAGAAAATGGATAAAAAATATTATACTATTAGGTTTTGCCGATAAAAATTAAGTAATATATATTTGAATTAAAATATAAAATATTCATAATATTTTTAATTAGATTATTAGAAGGAATAGATATCAATGAAACTGTAAATTAAGAACCAGTTTAAATAAAATTAGTCTAAAAAGTATTTTAAAGATATAAAATAAAAATAAATATAAAATAAAATAAAATTTAAAAAAGTCTTCAGCAAATAAAGTTGAAAATGTAAAAATAGAATTAACAACAGAATCTGATCTTTTTTTTAATTTTGTGTTTGAAGCAAATGAATAATCATTTTTAAAATTAAAAAAAAATAAAACCTTAATATAGATTATGATTAATTGTCAACTTCTTTAATAAAAATGTTTTAAAGTTGTTTAAAATAACCTAATTAGTACAAAAAAATGCGATTTAATTATTAAAATATAATTTTTAAAATAAAAAAGATAATTTTTATATTTTGAAATTAATAGAGAATTAAATGGAAACTTGTGTATAAATTAAACAACAGAATATAAGACAATTGAATTGATAAGATTAGAATTCAATACTTAAAGTCAAGAATAAATATAAAAAAGCATTATTTTCAGATATAATATTTTAAAATCAAAATTAATAGTTGTTTAGCGAAGAATTAAAGACTCTTTTAATATTTTAGAAAATTAAAACCCAAGCTTATACGAATATGTTAAAAAAAATACTAGTTTAGTAAAAAAAATAGCATGATTACATATTTATAAATATTTATTATTTTTTAAAAATTTAAAGATTTAAATAATTATAATAATTTTATTTTTATTAAAAAATTATTATTAAAAAAATAAAAGAAAAAATTATAAAAAAATAAAATATATATATATATTTATATATTTATATATTTATATTATAATTTTCATAATTGTATACATAAAATTTATATATTACATATATTTTTTTTATATATATATAAATAAAAATATAATATTCTTTGGATTTAAATAATTTTTATAGTTTTAATATATTTTTTTAAATTATATTAATGTAAATTTGTTTAATTATTAAGAACAATAAAATATCTAAGATAATATTTTTTTTTTCTAAAATAAAATATAAAATATAAAAAATAAAAAAAAGAAAATAAAAATAATATATATTATTTAATTATAATAATATTTTTAAAATAATTAATGATTCATCGTTAATCCTAAATATTCCTTATAAAGAACATTCCAAAATATTTTTTTGGAGGTAAAGATATTCGTTACAAATTCTAAAATGAAGTAACTGATGATGATTATGATAGAAGTTAAGGAGAAGTAAATGTACAACCAGTAATAAAAGAAAAAACATATTAGTTTTCATCTTTAACATCAACATTACCATTGTAAATAATTATAAATTATAGAAATTTTAATAAAATATAATACATATTAAAAGTTTCAAATCAAAATTTTTCTTAAGTTTTATTTCAAATAATTTTGATAATATTAAAGCATAATCAATATCAGATTATTTTGTGCCTCCAAAAATATTAGATAATAGTGTTTTTGTTTATCATGCTTAAAAACTTGGTAATACTTATAGAGTTTTTCGTGGCGCAGAAGGTATTGTTTTGCCAATTGTAGCATTAGGATTTACGTATCCATTATTTTCATTATTTTTTGCTATACCAACATATATATTATGTGCTAATGTAATTTTTTTTTTTATAATAAATATGCAATACTTGTTTATAAATAAAAGGCTTTTATTTATGAGGCTTCCAGAAGATTAGTTATAAGAATGGACATATTACCCCATTTAGAAATGGTTAGTATTTAAAGAGTTGGATCTTTCGGAATTTTATATAGTAAATTACACCGAATTTAAGATTTGGAATATGTTCCTTTTGAAAGTGTAGAAAAAGAAGGTTTTTTTTAATTCAATATTTTTTTTTATTAATTTTTTTTTTTTTTTTTCGAAAAGAAAATTATTTATGGGCTATTGGTGGACATGGAGTTGATAACCATTTGATTTTTAGGGATAAAATTACAAATGAATTTTTATATTTTGATAAAACTGGAGTTTGGGACGCTAAAGGATTAGATCATCCTTTATTAAATTGAAAAATAAAAATATTATAGTATTATTATTATTATTTTTTATTTTTTTCATATAAAAAAATAAAATATATTTTATTTTTCAATAAAATTAGTAATTTTTTTTAATTTATTATCTTTTATGGAAATATTTTTTTTTTGGATATAAATATTAATATTTTTTTTTAACTATTTCTAATTTTTTCTCATAACATTTCATCCTCTTCGTCTTCTTCTTCATGTAATTAATCTAAGTTTCCAAAGTTAACTGGATATTTAATACTATCAAGTTTAGCTTTAAGCTTATTATAACTATATAATCCGTTAGTATTTAAAGCTGAATTAATTAAATGTTCAATTCCTTTAGCATTTTTATCAATATATTTTTCTAAGCTTTACTCTATTTTTTCTTTTTTTACAAAAGTATCGCCTTATATTTAAAGTACATCGTTATCTTTATCAGACTTATTAAATCCTAAAAAAATAAAAATAATAAAATATAATTAAAATAAAAAAACCTAAAATTGACTTAGTATCAATTTGTTTTGAATTATAAAGGAAATCAATAAGTTTTTTATATTAATATAAATACATATCTTTTTTAATTTCCTAAGAAGTGCAAGCATTTATTTCTATAAAATCTCCAGTTGGTGCTTATTTTAATAAAAAAAATAAAATACTTTTTTTTAAAGTGAATTAAATTACCACATACTACTCCTATATCCCAATAAATATTTTTCGAAAGTCCTAATGGATGAGTTTTAGGAACTTCAACAAAATGCATATTCTTTTGAGTAATAATATAAAGCTTTACAGAAGAAGGACTTAAATAATCTATATCATTTACATTTGCAAAAATTCTATAAATTCCATTTTATTCTTTTTGTTTTTAGAAATAAAATTTAATTTATAGATATTTTTTTATTTCATACATTTTATTTTATTAATCTTAATCAAAATACTACATTGTTCTGCATTTGGTTCAATTAAAACTTCGCCTTTTGTATTTTAGATTATTTCGTTTTTAGGATTTATAACATTCATATTTAATATTTATTTATCAGTATCAGTAAGTACTAATATATTTACTTCATTATCAGTTTCTGGCTTTCTTATTAATGGAAAAGATAGTTCAGTCATTTTATTTAAATCCATTTTATTGTGTCCATATTCTTCGACAATTTTCATATAATCTTTTTTTTAATTAATAAATATATATTACATATTTTTTACTTTCATGTTTTATTTCTAGAATTCCTTCGAAAAATCCATCTAAAATTACACTGCAGAATCCGTATTCATCAGTGATTTTTTCTACTATTTATCTTCTTTTATCAATAATCTTTAATTGAATTTTATTTGTTTTAAAATATTAAAATAAAAAAATACTTTAATAGAACAGTTTTAGATTACTTATTAGAAATTTCCAGCTTCATAAACTTAAATATTCAAAATTTTATTAGCTGAAGAAGGTCTTACAGGCATATTTTTTTACTCGTTAGTATTTTTTTATCCGCCTTATTAACTATTTGAACTTTAAGGTCTCCCTGAAGTTGGTCTAACTCTATTTTTTTATACACTTTCTTAATTAATTGAATTATTTTTGTATGTATTTTTAAGCTTTTCTTCTTCAGAAACTTAAAGTTTTTAAGCAAGAGGAAGCTTTAATTCTTAATTTCCAAATTTGAATACGTAATCCATATCCACTTCAGTAAATCCGAATTTTTAAACGATAATTTTATATTTGCCTGGGGTTAAATTAGTTTCATATACACCATTGTTTATGATATCTTATAACATTTCTACAACAAAAAATAAAATATAACATTACTTTTTTTATGTTTTTTGTTATAAAAAATACCTTCTTAAATTAATTAATCTTCATAATTATATTAAATAATAGTTATATTAGCATTAGACATATTTTAATAAGATTTTTGTTAATAACCTCCTTATTCTATGTTTTCTTCATATTAGCTAATTATTCTTGCAAATGTTATTTCTACAGGTTATAAAATAATAAACTCTATATAATTTCCTTCTTAAGCTTTTTAGAAAATATCTATTTTTTATATATGCCCTTTATAATTATTATTTTCTTTAATTTCTAATATGTATGTATCAAATGCTAAATTTTCAAATACAACAAGTCCTTCAGTATTGCTTTTTTCTTACAATATAATTCCTTTTTCCTATTTATTATCTCCATGTTTTTTATTTTTGGCTTCTATTAACTGCTAGTTAGTGCACTAACAGGTCTAGATACACTATTATTAAATTCTTATTATTAAAAGGCTGAAATAGGTCTACTTTTATTGAAATTTTCTCCTTACAAGGTAACTGTATATATAATTTTATTTAAAAATATATATAATATTTTTTTGAATTTTTTACATGATTTTTAACTATAATAATTATTATTATTAGATTGTGTATTTAAAGGTTTTCTATAAGGTCTTAAAATAACATTAATATTATAGATTTTATTGTCTGCAGTTTTTATTTTGTTTTCTTATGAATTGAGTAATTCAGCAGGATCAAATTATTCGAGAGATATTTAAATTTTAAAAGTGCATTTTTGCATATAATCTCTTATTTTGTTAAGAATTTTATCCTATTAAGGCCATTTTTTGTGTTGTAGTTTTGAAAAAAGAAGGCTTTTCTTGATTTAACCATTTGTATTTATTGCTATTTAGACTTCTAAAGCTCCTAATCTTTTCCTTGCGTATTAGTTTTCTAACGATCGTTCATTTTCTTCGGTTATTAAAGGTTTTAAATATACTTTTATTATGGGATAGTGCTTTAATATATTCTTCTTTATATCTGAAGCTATTTATAAATATTATTCTTCATTATGCCTTGTTGATCCTTAATGATCTTTACAATTAGTACTTTATTTTTAAACAAATATAAATTAAAATGTATATTTAATTTTTAATATAAAAAACCAATATTCTATAGTAATAATTGCTTCTCCTTCTCTGACTTTTTAGAATTCTTAGAATTCTCTAAATTTATCTTTTGATAATTCATCTACTTATTACCGGAATTAATTTAATTTATTCTCAAATGTTTTTTCTCCGAATTTCGCTATTAGACCACAATCATCATTTTCGTATTTTTATTTAGGTTATATTCCTGGTGAAATCCAGGATTTTAAATGGATTTTTCCATGATGATTATCTAATACTCTTTATTTTTGTTTTTTTTATTTTCTAAATATTTATTTTACCTCGAATGTTTTTCTTCATTTTTCGTTTGTTCTTCTTTTGATTTATATATGGCATCTTTACGTAAATTTAAAGATTTAGTTGGAGAAGCTAACCTTTTCCAAATTTATTCAAGTTCTTCTTTTGATTATTGATATTCTTTTTTTAGTTCTTTTTTAAGCGTTGGTTAGTTTTGGAATTGTACATTTTTTTATTTATTTTTTGAATTAAATATAAAATTATATATTTTTTCTTTAAATAAATAAACTATTATTTTTTTTTAAATTTTTTTTATTTTTTGAAACATTTATATAATTATTATTAAAATATATATATATATATATATATACGATATTGAAATTTATTATAATAAAAAAAATAATTTTAAATAATAAAACTTTAATAAATTATAATTAAAAAAAAATCTAAAAATATTTTAAAATTTTACCAATATAATAATTAAAACTTAACATACATACACACAAAATAAAATATATATTTATAAAAAAAAAATTAAATAAATTTTAATATTTTTTTAAATTAAAGAATAAAAAAAAATCAAATTAAATTTTAATTACATTCAAGGCTGGCTCCAAAATTAAAATAATTATTATTGTCTTCAACCATAATTTTAAAATTATTTTCATTGCTATTAAATAAATTTTCTCCGTATTTATTATCGCTACTTTTTTTATAAGAATATTTATTTTTATAGATTTCTTACGACTTTTTTTTTTTAAGAGAATTAAAAGTTTCTTAAGAAGTAAAATCTTCACTAAGTTTTTTACTCAAAAACTATATTTAATTTTAACTTTTAAGTCTGAAAAATTATTCGTAGGCATTTGAATGCAAAATTTCTTCTTCTTATTTTTCCAAAAATTCTTCAGAGCGAATAATATTATTATTTAAATTTTCGTTATTTTCGTATTTTTCTTTCAATAATTTAAGTCTTAGTTTTGAAACGACATTAAAATTATCCTTTTTTTTCACAACATGGATAATTTCATCCCAGTTTTTTCCTTCTAGGGTTAGTATTTTTTTTTTGAATGCTTAAATTTTGTTTCTATATTCTTCTTCTTTTAAATAGTCTTTTTTATAATCACCTTCGTTTATTATATAATTACTATTCTTTTTCTAATCAAAAAACTCTAAATTTCTTTACAAGCATTAACTTTTGAAAAACTAAATTTAAATATTTTCAAAAACATCGAGTTTGTCTTTAATAAACCAAGGATGTAAAAGGGCTTCTTTTGCCGATAATCTTTCTTTTGGGTTTTTTTTTAATAGTCTTTTGACAAAATCTTTCTAAATCGATGTTAAATTTTATAAATCTTCATCTTTCAATTAAACATTGGTTATTTATTCGATTGTATCACTTAAATATTCTGAAATAAAGGGTAGTTTTCCAGTAAAAAGTTAAAAAGTAATTATTCCTATTGACCAAATATCTATCTTTTCACAATATCCTGTAGAAAAGAAGATTTCTGGAGCTTTATAATATAGAGTTCCTGTACCAGTCCACATTTCTTATTTTTTATACGCATTTTAGAATTTTTTGGAAACTTCAAAATCTATAATTTTAACAATATCAAAAAACTCACTAACAAGTATATTATCGGGTTTTAAATCTCTATGACAAATGCCTTAATTATGTAAATATAAAACAGCTTAGAGAATATTTTTTATAATATTCTTGGACATTTTTTCAGTTAAAATTTATTTAGTTTAATCTTTAAGGTATTTTTTTAATGATTAATAGGGACAATATTCCATTACATAATATATATTGTGTGTATTTTGGTTTATATATAATTCTTGTGGCTTTATTATGTTTGGGTGATTGAGATTTTTTGCTATTTTAAATGATTATATTACTCCTGATATTTTCTCTATATCACCATCCTTTATTATTTTTACGGCATATATTTTATTGCTTAATTTATTTCTACATAATTTAACTATTGCATGACTTCCTTAGCCTATTATATTTTCTATAGTATAAGTTTCTTCGAATTTTTTTAATCGGTTGTTTATTTTGGGAGATTTTTATTATTCAGTAGACGGATAATATTAATTTTGAGTTATTATTTGGAGAATTTCTTTATATTCTTGCTCGTTTATATTCATTTTACGGTCTAAATTTATAAATAATGTTTATTTTAATTAATCTCTTATTTTATTTAGTTTTTTCATATTTTTTTTGGTCAATTTAAATTTTTTACCTCTTTTTTATTTATTTATAAATTTATTATTAGTAATTTATAATATTATTTTTTATTCTATTTTTTTTTTTTTTTTAGTTTCTGGTAGTTTTTTTTTATCACTTTTAAAGATTATTATTTTTGTTGTTCAAAATAGTAGCTTTTATATTTAATTAAATATTAAAAAAAAAAAATTAATTATTTTTTATATATTTATATATATTATAATCTAATTTTCATAAATATAAAACTAATAAAAATAAAAAATAATTAAATTATAAAAAAAATCTAAAATTTGTTTGAACAAATTTAATAAATAATAATATAGAAAACCTTATTATTTGATTATTTTTTAATTATAATTTTTTTTAAATCTTAATTATATAATTAATTTAAATTATTTAATTATTATATAAATATTTTTTTAATTTCTATCATATTTTAAACATTATAAAATAAATTTTATTTGAAATCAATTATTTTGTCTTTAATAAATTAATTTTTTTAAAAAAAAATATATAATAATCATATATTTTAAGAAATTTTAATATTAGAATAAATTATTATTTTTAAAATATATATATTATATATTTATATTTTGTTTTTATTTAAATTAAGTATTTATTTAAGTTAATTTTATATTAATAAAAATCTAATTATTATTTAATTTAAAATTCTAAATAATATATAAAATATTTCATAAAACCTTTTATCTATAATTCTTAAGAAAAGTATTCATTTTTAAATTAAAAACTTTAAATTACTAAAAGCTTCAGTAACTTATTATAATTTCCATCTTTTATTGCAATCCTAATGCATCATATTAATAAGAATATCAATAATTTAAATAACCTAATTTTTTTGTAGTTCTTGACTTCTTTTATTTTTAATTTACTAAAGCAATTATTCAGGTTCATTTTTTATAACAAATTTATATATAGGATCTTTAAGGGAAGGTGTAATATTCATTTTGGGATATTATCCAAAGAAAAGAACGAAAAAAACCATTCCCAAAGAATAAATATCAGCTTTTTATAACTATATATATTAAGAATAGTTTTAATCTTTAATCATATAATGTACTTCAGGAGGTTAAAAAGTTAAATTTCTATTAGAAAAAAGTGAAAAATAATCGAAATTTTACACATTAGTTGAAGATGCTAAACCGAAATCGGCAATATAAAAATTATCCTATTTAAAGAATATGTTATCTAGTTTAATATCATTATGTGCAATTTTTTAATCGTGTATATGTTATAATGCCGATGTTAATTAAATGATAGAAATTCATATTTTTTATAAAGGAATATTATTTTCATATTTTTATAATAAGGTTACACAATCATATTTATATAATAGCATTTCTATTCCACAGCAATATGTATTTTTATATATTGGATGTAATACATCAATATGAAAATTTAAAGGGTTTATAACGTTAGTGTGTGATAATTTGATTTTTAATATTATATATTCCTTTTATAAATTTAATATTTATTAAGTATATGTGTTTTGAGTTAGTTTTAATATTGAGACGTTTTTTTTTTTTGCTTTTTGTTATCTTAAGAAGATTAATTTTAAAGATTTTATGAACGAATTATCCAAATTTCATTTGGTGAATTCTCTAGTGTATTAGAGATTATTTTAATATATTTAAATGGGGGTTTTTACTTTATTTTTTCAATCATTTTAATTTTTTTTTTTTTAAATATTTCATTTTATTATATTTTTTTAATTACTAAATACTATAGAATTATTTTTTTTATAAAGAGAATTTAATTATAAAAATTGAATTGTCTACATTTATTCTATTATATTAATTTAATTAAATTATGATGAAAAAAATTAATTTACTATTAATATAATTATTATTTATTAAAATTTTTAAAAAATAATTATATAATATATAAAAATATAATATTAAATTTAAACAATTTTACAACATTATTTATTTATTTTTTAAAAAAAATGTTATTTATTCCTTATTTTAAATTAATTTCAGAGAATTTTTTTTTTAAATTTTAATTAAATAAAAGTTAAGTTAATAATAAATTTTTTTAAAAAAATATATAAGCTAAACATCCCACCTTAAAAAAAAAAGATAATATTTTGATTAATAATAAAAAATTTTTTTGATAAATACAAAAAAAAACATTCATAAAGTTTTTTTAAAAAAAAATCATAATTCAAATAATTTAATAGCCCCATCATCAAAAGAAGCTAAAAACTTATTTTATTAATATTAAACTAAATCATATAACATAGAAGAGCTTCCACTAGTTAATTTTCCAACAATTCCTTTTTTTCTATGATCGAAATAATGTATTTCTCCATTACAATTACCCACAACAAGTAAACTATATTCTTTTAAAAAGATCATTTTAGTAACAGAATGTTCTACGCTAATTTTATCTTTTAAAGTCATTTTATTTAAATCGAAAATTCTAGCAAATCCATCTAAACTTCCTGTGTAGAAAATATCTAATTTAGAATCAAAAAGAACAGATTCAACACCATCATCATGCTCAATAGTTTTACCTAAAACCTATTTTTTTAATAAATATTTTTTTAAAAAATACATATGATTTTTGTTTATTTTACTTTTCCTGTTTAATAATTACTTATACAAGCAATTTTATCAACAGATCCTGAAGCTAATATACATTAAACAGGATGAATATCAAAACAGACAATCTATTCTTGATGAAATCCAAAACCTATATATTTTTTAATTTAGTAAAAAATATAAATTTAATAAAAAAAATTAACCTGATATTTTTTTTATTAATTCTCCTGTTTTTGGCTTCCATATTCTGACCGATGCATCTTCTGATGCTGTCAAAATTAAATTTCCGTCAGGAGAAAATTATCCACAAGTTAAGGGCTATTAATGACCTGTAAAAGTAGACATATATTAACCTGAAATTGCATTCCACATCCAAACTGAATTATCTGCACTTCCTGCAATAACAACATTACCTTTAGGATGCCAGTTGAGGAACTATTTTATATAAATAAATATAATTATATGTATATTAGGGTATTTTATAAAATACTCTAATTTCATCAGTGGGACCTTCTAATAATTTTTTAAATTCTCCATTTGAAGTCCATACTTTCACACTTCCGTCTAAAGCTCCTGTAACGAAAAGAGAACCATCAAAATTGAATTTCGCAAAATCTATTGTTTCATTTTGCTTAGGAATTTCTATAAGAGGTTTATCAGGATTATTTATATCCCAAGTTCTTGCTATATCATCACCACCTCCGGAAATGAAAATATTTGGGTTTTACGGATGAAAATTTAAGGTAGAAACGAAGTCTGTGTGTTTTAAAAAGGTCTTTGTGCTCATGTCGACAATCTTTTCTTTACTTTAGTCTGATGATACGTCATTATCTTCTTCTTTTTTTCCTCTTCATCTACTTATACCTCTTTTTGGTCAAAACTATTGTCCATTTCATTCACTAGTTCATCATCTAAATAAACTACATCATCATCCGCTTGACTAGTATTATTTTCCCAATTTGATTCGCGATCTTCTTCGTCATTTTTTTATGTTTCGTCTGTAGTTTTTATATTGAATTTATTGTAATATCTTTTTAAAAAATCTTCTATGTCTTTTTCTTAAATTTAAGAATCAGCATCGAATTTCTATTTTATTTTTTATTTATTTTATTTATTTATTTATTTTACATTTTTTATTGCTGTTCTTATAACTGGATCTATTTCTATATTTATTTAGTATTTTAATAATATGTTTTTGAATAAATTCTTGTTTTAATCCAACATTTCTTCTAACATTAAACCTCCATATATAAAGTCTTCTTCAACTTAGTCTTATATTTATTTATTATTTTAACTATATTTGTTTATTTTTTATACTTTTTTAATTTTTTAGTTTACTTTAATGTTCCTAAGATATCATCTGATGATTATATCATAAGTTCAAAATATCCTATTAATTTTTCTGTATTAATTAAAGATATTATCTTTTTTTTTAATAATCTTTGGTTCGTTTATTTTATTTTTTACCTTTTTTATTTCATCATCTTAATTTCTTGTTTCTTTATTTATGTCATTCCATAATTCTTTTTCTTAAAATTCTTGTTTTTTTTGAATTTCATTGTAATATAATTATAAGCAATTTATTATTTCGCTATCAAATTAATCTTATTATGTGGTTCTTTATTTTTAATTTAAAATAAAATATTAATTTTTTAAATTTTACTTATGGTTTTCAATTTCCATTTTTTGCTTTTTTTAATATTTGTCTTATTTTATTTATTATTTTTGTACTTTTATTATAAAAATTTAGATGTATTTTTTATATATATTATATACTTATAATTTTATATTTTAAATTATTAATTTTAGAATATAAAATGAAATGAATTTTTTATTATTTTTTTGTTTTTTTGTTATAAGAAAATATAATAAAGAATCAATCAATTTTAAAAATATTTTAAAAATTCTTCATATGGTAACATAGTAATTATTATATATTTATTAATATAATTATAATACTTTTATCTTATAAATATTTTTATAATTTAAAACATTAAATTAAAAAAATCAAAGAACTATAATTATCAAATATTTTAGTTAAAATAATAATAAATTCTTAAAATAAAATAACTGAAACATTATTAATTTATAGATAAATAAAAAATATTTTTTTAAATATAATAAAATATATGTCTTCAATTAGTCATTCTAATAATACTAGAAATTTATTTTTTAAGTATTCTATTAGAGGGTATAAAAGTTGATAAATAAGCACAAATAATCGAAGCAATAAAAATCACAATAAGAACTTAATATGGGAATGTAAATTTAATAGGTAATTCAGTAAAAAGAGCTCTTTACATACTCATAGTAAATCCAATAATAATTCCAATGCATATACCCATAATGCAACTACTAAAAACAAGAGTAAAAGCTTCAAAAATATAAATTGTTTTCATTCTAAATTTAGTTAAGCCTACAGCTCTTAATACAGCAATTTCTTTCGTTTATTCAAAAATGTTTGCTGTCATGGAAGATACTAAAGAGAAGAAACATAAAGCCATAACAATAATTGCTAGAACTGAAAAAATTAAATTAATCAACTTTTTTTATTATTAGTTAGATTTTTAATAATCTCTATAATCCCATATTTTTCCATTTAAATCTTTTTTTTTAAATATGTTAATAATTATAATATATCACTTTTTATATTTATTGTAATTTTTTTAAAAAACTCAATTAAAAAAAAAAAGCGAGAAAAACGATAACACCTTTTAGTTGTTTTTGTTAATTGATTTTTTTTTAAAAAAATAATATATTAATATATTTTTTACATTTTTCATTCATATTTTTTTTTAAAGTATCATAAACAAAACCTTCTTTTCCACTTTTAATTTTAAGTTTTAAATTAGACATAGGAATATCAGAATAAGATTAAATATCTTCACTTAAAAAATTCATATATGTCAGAAAAGAAACAACTCCACTCATTCTTTAGTTTGAAGGAATACTACTAAAAGTCATTCCTGGCATTTAATTAACAATTGAAGATACTCTCATTTAATAGGTTTTTGAGAAAGTATTATTATATAAAATATTCAATATTGGATTCGTGTAATTTAAATCAACACCAATAACATCGATTTAACTTTTCCCTAAAATCATTGATTAAGAGCCCCTTGGAGTATATAATTCCTCAACAATATCCAAACCACTATTAGAAGATTAATAAATATCCAAAAACTCACTAGAAAATACTGTCTTTAAGTAATTAGGAGAAACTGCAACTATATTTGGATAAAATTCATATATCCTTCCAATATGAGTCACATAATTTTTTTAATAACCTTTTTTTAATTATTTTATTTATATAATATAATAAAAATATATACCAAGTTATTTAGATACAAAATCTAAAGAATCAGAAACCCAAGAATAAGATTCTATAGAGTCTATTAATTAACTTGAAATTATATTTTCATAAGCCACAGTATCCAAATAATCCAATGTTGCTGTAACTTCCATATAAACTCCTCTTTATCTTCTAATTTAATAATCAGAAGAGTCGATTTATACAGACATTGCAGTCCAAACAAAAATAATAAAAGCAATCGAAAGTCCATACATGGTGGCAGTTCTTCTATTTTTAATTCTATGGGCAGCCAAATTTTTTTAAATGATGATTCTTATTGCGCCTTTTGTCCAAAAGAAAAAGACTATAATAACAAACTTTTCTAATAAATGTTACACGTTTAATGCAAACAAAGTAAATCCAACTAATAATCCTACTAAAATCCAAAAAAAAATAGCTATAAGTAATGCAAAATCAAGTGAAAGTAATGCTAAAGGCAATAAATAATATATAGAAATCCCAAAAATAGAAGTTATTAAGGAAAAACTTATTACGCCCCAAGGAAATTTTTTTCCTTCTATATCTATATCTATTTTAATAGCTTAAGATTTCGATCTTTATTAATCAAGAGCTATCCCCAAAGTTTATTTCAAAGCTTCCCTTATTGGTATAATTGAAGAAACTAAAGGTATAGCAATTCCTAATAAAAGAGAGAGTACAAATGCATTTCCTGTTGGAGTATTAGATATTTCTAAATTAAGGACTTAATATAATTATTTGCTTATAATTTCTAAGAGTATTATTGATATTAATAAGCCGGAAATAACAGCAGGAATGACATAAAATAAACTTTAGAAAATAATAAGACAAACAACGCCGAATTTATTTAAACCTAAAACTCGTAAAACACCGAACTCAAAGTTTTTTGTTTCTATAGAAACTAATAATAAATTATATAAAAGCATTACACTGAGCATAAATAATACAAAAACAATCAAATTTAAAATTATCCCTAAAAACATTGAAGCTTAACTTTAGTATGAAAGTTCTTTTAAAATAGGCATGTCTATTTTTATAGGATATATTCCCAAGTCTTTAACTAAATTAGATGATACACTTGTTACTTTATATTATATATTGTCATAATTTGAGTCTAAATATAGATCATAGCGATTTTTAAGGTTCATTATAATCTAATTTTTTATTAATTTTTATGAAGTTTAGTTATAATATATATAATTTTAATTTATATATTTTTATTATTATATTATTAAAATAATTTTATTTTAATTGATAAAATTTTATTATATTTTTAAAAAAAATATTTTATTTTATTTTATTTTATATATATATATATATATATAAATTTTATTAAATTTTTAATTTTTATTTATTTCTATTTTTATGTTTTATATATTTTACGTATGAAGCATAATTATATGGATTTATTTATTTAAAATAATTTAAATATTTTGATTCTTAACGATTTTATAATAATTTTATTTCTAAACCGAAATATTTTGATATTAATTTATTTAAGTTTTTATATTCTGATATTATAAATCCGTCTAACGCTACATCTCCAAATTTTCCATCTGAATCTTCAAAAAAGCCTTTTACCGTTAAAGGAAGTACCAATTTTGAATATCTCGGTTAATACTTTATATAATTTTTTTTTTAATATTTGTTATTTTTTATTACTTAATTAAACTCACTATATAAATTTTTACAATATTAATTTTCTTCGAAATATTTTATATTTTCCTATTGATATGGTTGACACATTTCTTCAAGTATATTTAATGCAAAATTTTCAAAACCACTTGTTCGAAAATATATTTTTTGTCCTATATTTATACCTAATTAAAGTAATAAAATAATAATATATTAATTATTATTAATTTTAAAAAATAAAATAATAACCCAATTAAGTAGCCATTTATTTGTGTATTATAACTTCATCTTCATTTAAATTTTGAGGTTTCCAACTTCTTCCGACCCCAATTTTTTACTCTTGCTATTAATCAAGGAAATATATAGTACTTTATTAATAAAAGAAACAATTATTAACAGATTTAAACATTTTTAATTCACTAGAATTGTCTATTTAACATTATGATATTTCAGTGTCTGAAATTGATTCTCCTACTACAATATATCTTGGAGTAAGTTAATTACTTCTATCGTCATTTAAAATTTCTTAAATTTTTGTTAAATTTAAAAATGATTAGTTTGAATTATATTATCCATCTATTTTATATTATTTTATTATTATTATATTATATTTTATTTTATTTTATATACGATCTAATATTTCGAAATTAGAATCTAATGTAAAATCTATTTCTCCTACTGGACCTTCTGCGGCTTATAAAAATATTATTGGAGCCCTGTCTATTACACTTTGGGAAACTGCAGCTGAAGTTACAACTAATGTTACCGAAAAAAAAGCTAAACAAAAATAACAAAAACGTCTTTTCATCTCATTTAAGGCATTATTAACATAATATCTTATTGAACTTTTCAAACTTTATGATACTAATATTTGCTTTTTGAAATACTCATTATTTTCTTTTTTATTCATACTTTATTTATAATTTTTTATATTAATTGTTTTTTCTATATATAATTATGAGTTATATAAATTTTTAATTTTAATGTATTATTTATTTTTCATATATATTTAAATATTAAATAAACGAAAAATCATTAAATTTCTAATAATTATTATTTATTCATTAGTAAAAATAAAAAATACTTAATAATATATTTTATTAAATATATATTGTAATAATTTATATTTTTAATAAATAACTTTATGTAATTATTATTTTATATTCATTTAATTAGTTTATATTATTGTTTTATTTCTTGTTTATTGTTATATATGTTTGAGTTAATTTATTTTTTAATAAATTCTATATAAACAAAGATTATTATAAATTAAATTTGATATAAAATTATTTTTGTAAATATTTTATTAGAATTAAAATCTTATGTAATAGTTTATTATAAGTTTTTTGATTTTTAATTAATGTGTGATTTTTATAATAAACGGATTCAACTGTATTAAAATATTATAATTAATTATATAACATAAAAATTTTAATTCTCTATTCAATATTACTTATTTATAGATTTTTATGTTTTCACAGTATTTTTTTTTGATAAAATACTCAACCTTTAAACAAAAATAAAAGTGAAAAAAAAATATAATTGATATTTAATTTTTAATATATATTTAAATTTTTTTAATAAAATCCTTTTATTTTATTTTATTTTATTTTAATTCATAATATTAAATAAAATTGTATTTTAATTATTTTAAATAAAAATACTTTTAAAATTATACTGCTTAATTTAAATGAGTTAATATAAATAAAAGAAAGAAAAAAAAAATTCATAATTAAATATCTATTTTTAATACGTAAATTAAAAAATAAATGATTATAAAATAAAAAAAAGTATAAATTTTAGTATAAAAAGTTAAAAAAAATAATAAAATATATAGATAATTTTAATATAAAATAATTAATTAATAAATTCAATTAATTAAACATTAAATTTAATCCTATTCAAAAAATTATAAAAATTTTAATTAAATATACTATTTAAACTAATAAGGAAAGTTATTTAAAATTTGTAGAGAACATATTAATTATTTAATTTTTACAAAAATAAGAAATATAATGTTTTAATTACATTTAAAAATATCAATTTTGTCTAATAAAGACTTTAGTTAAAGAAAACAAGATTCTAATTGTTAAAAAGAATTTATATTTAAAAAGATGTCATATATAATATCAACTATAATTAATTTATAAATATATATAAATATAAATGAATATAAATTAATATATATATATATATATATATATATATATTTAAATATATATATTTTATTTAGAATAATATACATTAAATATTTTCTACTTCAATGTTAAAATTTTATATGAAAAAGAAATATTTTTGATTTAATGTTTTTTATAATTCCAATTATTTTTTTTAGTTACAAATATTATTTAATACATTGATTTTATTTGGAAAATATTTCATAAAATGTTCAATTACAACTAAAGATTTGCTCATATTTTTTGTTTAAACACTAAAATGAAATTGTAAGATTAAAATTATTTAAAAAAATTAATTTTTTAATTCAAAATTTAACAAGTTAAATATACTTTGGCAAATATTTTCCGTTTTATTTATTATTTATATTGTTTTTTACATTAAAAGCTTATCTTTATTTTTTAAAGTATCTAAAAATAAGATTTAATAAGAAAAATAAAGTAAATAAGTTTAAAAAAATAAAGAGTTCTCGAATAAAAACTAAAATAACTAATCTTATTATTTTTATTATTAATATACTAATAAATTTTAGCAAACATTTTACAAAAATAAAATTCCTGAATTAAAAAGAGTAATATTTTTATCTAAATTCTAATCGTTTTAAAATAGAAAATAAGAAAAAAATACTAAAAGTTATATTTGTAGAATCTGGAGTATTAAATTAATATTATTTGAGTTATATTTTGTAAATTACAAAGAAAAATTAGCCAAAAAATAAATTTAAAAATTATTTATTAGCAAGTTTATTTCAAAAAAATATGTTTTTTTAGATATAATTTATGAAAATTATTCGATTAATAATTAAATTTATTGAAATATATAAAGGATATTTTTATTTTCGAATTATTAAAATTAATTTAAATGGCTTATTATGGGAGTTAATAAATTGATGTTTTTTTAGTTATCTTGGTTTTGGGATTAATAAAGAGATTAAAGAAATAAAAAATCTTCGAAATTTTTATTTAAAAATTCAATGTAAAAATCTAGATTTGTTTACTTTTCTAAGAATATTTGTAATAGAAAAAAGGTCATTTAGTTAACTTAGACTTTTTTTTAAGAAAAGGAAAATATATTTTCGAAAAAAGGGATATCCTAATTAGTTATTAGTGTTTTTTTTTTAAAAAATATTATTATTTTAGAATATTTATCGCCTATTTGTGTTTTAAAAAGGTTTTGTTTTTCTTTTTAGTTTGTTTTTTTTGATAAATAAAAACCCAAAAATTATAAATCATATAACTCTTAGTCAAATTTTTTTTTTTAATTTTACAAAAAATTGATTTTGCAATTTATTAAATCAATAGAAGTATTTAAAATTTGAAAATCTTTTGTAAAAAGTGCTATTTAAATTTGGAATTAAAAGTCTTTTATTAGAAAATTTTTAATTGTTTAAATTTCGTTTTCCAATAAATTAATTTGATTTTAAAAAAAAGAAGAAAATAAAAATGTTTGAGTTTAAAAATACTCTAAAAATAGTGGAAAAAAAGAATTTTCTTCCGAAATAATTTTTTGGGTATTTTCCAAAATTATAATAAGTGTATTTATTTGTAAATTCAGAAATTGTAAATTAGTAAAATTTTTTGGATTTTACTATATTTTATTTAATAAAGTGTATATTAAGATTATGTATTAGGAAATATTATTTTCTTATTACTTTAATGTATTTATTATTTCTTCTATTTAATAATATTCTAAGTTTTGTATGTTTTTTTCTTTTAGTAAATAAATTAATGCTTTTTCAGGATTTTCTTGTATTTATATTAATAAGTATTAAAAATATAATTAGTTTTACTGAAAAAACATTAATTTTTATTCAAATTCTTGATTTTTTTATAAAGAATTATAAACTTTTGTATAATGGCTTGAACTTGAATTTATTACTTAAATATCTGAATTTATTTCTTAAAAAGTTGAATTTTTTTAGAATGAAAAATCGTTTTTTTCTTAAATTAAATCATCTAAAGCTTCTATATATGAATATTTTTATAAAAATTATTCATTTAAATGTTGTTTTTGGATATTTTTGGATAAAAAAGAGAGTATTATTGATATATTTTCTACTAAAAAATATTAAAAAATTAAAAAGAAAGCAAAGTTATGGACAAAAATAGCGTTTTTTTCTTAAAAAATTTAAATAAAATTTTGTAAATGAAAAATAGATTATTCAAAAGGGGTTTTTTTTTCAATAAAAATAAAAAAAATTTCAAATATTTCAATTTGGAAGTCAAAAAATTCATTTTTTAGTGAACTTTTTATAATTTTTTTATTATTTTCTTAAAGGAATTTCAAAAAATCTAAATCTTCATTTTTTTATATATTTTTTGATATAAAAAACATATTCAAAACTAAAATTTCCTCCATTTTTTCTAGCTAAAAATTTTCTTTTAGTAATTTTTCATCATCCAAGGCTTCTTTTAGGCAATAATTTAATAAATTAATATTTAAAAAAGATACTTTATTCTCAAACTAAATATCGTTAGGTTAATTATTTATTTTTTCTTCCAAAAGAAAACCTTTTTTATGTAAATTTTCTTCACTTTCTTCTTATAAATAATTTTCCTCTTATTTTAATTCAATATTTTCTTATAAAAGATAATATATGTCTAGTAGTTATTCTGAAAGGGAAACAAGTTTTTTAAAAATTAAATTTGTTTTGTTTGAAATGTAAGTTTTTTGGAAACATTCAAGTTAGTTTTGGAGATTTTGGAGCAAAAGGAAGTCTTTTTTTTAATTTAAAATTTATTTTTTTACTTAGTTTATAATTATTTGTATCATATTATTTGATTTTAGCTAAACAAATATAATATTTTTATTTTTTAAATTTATAAAAAAAAAAAAAAAAAACTTTATTCAAATAAATATAAATAAAAAATATATTTATTTCATCCAAAAATATTTTAAAATTAATTTTTTGCATACAATCCTACATTTAAAAAAGCTTATTTTGCTGTCCCATTTACTACAGAAGGATTTGAATTTACTTAATTAAGACATTCTTTAGCAATTTCAACTGGAGAATCGACATAATGTTTATAAATAGTATTTTAAATATCCGGTTTGAATGAATAAAGCATAGGTGAATCAATATAACCTGGCGAATTATTAATAATTTATAACTAAGGAAGTTCATTTTGGTATTATTTTTTCAAAGAACCCGTAAATGCATTCATATATTATTTACTTGCAAAATAAAGAAGACCTTATCCTGTTATATATTGTCTTTATGAAGTTTAAGATCCTATATTTATCATAAGTGTTTTTTATTAAATATTTTTTTAATGGGCTACGTATTTGATTATTTATTAAATAAAAAGGGAAGATCCAATTATATTCGTGTTTATTATTTCCATGCCTTTTTCGTTTAAATTTATTTTCTCAAAAGGCTCGTTTTCGTAGGCTGCGGCATTGTTTATAAATATACATATTTCATCTTTGTAGTTTTATCGTATTTTATTAAAAAAATCTGCATAGTAGTCAGGTTATGTCGATTTTAAATCTAATTTATGACCTTTTATTTCTATTTCTTTGTATTTTTTTTTTAACTCAGTTATAGTTTTTTGAATTTAGTCTTCGCTTCGGGATGCTAATATTATATTATATCCTCTTCTAGCTAATTCTTCGGCATAACCGTAGCCTAATCCTTGTGTTCCACCGGTTATAAGTGCATATTTTTGAGGAAATTAGTCTTTTAAAGGTATTGGGGTAGTGAAATAATATCTATTAACGTAATCAATGAAATTATATGCTTAATATGATAATTATAATAAACCTATTGTAGAGCATATTTAATACATTTTTTTTTTTTTTTTTGATAATATCTATTTTATTTATTTTTATATTTAAATTAGATTTAGTAATTTATTTATTTTTTCAAATAAAAAATAAAAATTATGTCAAGATATTTCGGCGGAAAAACAAGAAACAGCTAATAAGCTATAGCAATATATAATGCATATTAACAAATGAAATAATTTTTTTAAAAAAAATTCATGAATTAAAAACCAGAAATAATATTTAAAAGAAAAAGTTTAGTTAATTACAATCTTAATTCAATAGACATGAATAAATTTAGTAAAAAATATATTAAAAAAAAAATGAAGAATATATATATATATATATATATATTTAGTTTAAGATAAAAATTGTTATTCTTTTAGGTTTTATGTCGGTATAGGATTTTTAACAGGATTATCTTTAGGTTATTGCTTGGGGGAATTTTTACATGATGAAGATTTTAGATATTACTATTATATTAGGTATCCTAAGTAAATGTATTAGTTGGATTTATTTATTGATTTTATGAATCGAAAATTTGGGTTTCTTAGTTTTAAATTCCCGGATATTAGAAATGAAAAAGATGCTTATTTATTTTTTAATTCGATTTTTGAATAAGTTTTAAAAACAAAAGCAAAATAATCGTTGAAAGAATAATAATTTAATGAATTAAATTCAAATGTTTAAGGTATTTTTTTATATAAATTTATTATACTTCATTGTTTTTTTAAATTTTTTTATATTTTATTTAGAAACTGATTTAAAAATCGAAGAATTTGATAAAATTGTACAAGAATAGGACAAAGTTGTTAAATAATTATATATATAATAACTTTAGTTGGAAAGAAATAAAAAATGAATATTTTTTTTATAAACGTATTTTCTATAATTAATATAAATAATTAATTTTGTATTTTAGAAATAAATTAAAAAAATAAAAAATAATATTTTTTTATATTTTAATTAAACTAAATATAAAATATAATTTATTTTATTAATTTTAAAGTTATAATTAACAAAATATAATTTATTTTAGAATATTTATTTAAAAATAATATGTAATAAGTAGTTATTTTTTGAAAATAATTAAAATAAAATAAAAATACTCATATTTATAGATATATGAAGCCATTAACTTTAGAAAACAAAGCCATAATATAAAATTTATTCATTAATTTTTATAACTTATTTGAAAATATGTTTTAAATATAAGAAGATGTTTCTTAAAATACTATTATTTCTTCTTCTAAATAAAATAATCTACAAAATCAAAATGAAGTAATTAAAAAACAAAATAAATTTTTATTTTTATGAAAATAAATAGAATATATCAATAAGTTTATTAAGTATGTTTTAAAATATTAACAAATTCTTCATTTAAAATAAAATAGAAAACTCATAAAAAGAAAATCAAAAAATTAAAAAAAAAAAAATATAAAATTCTTAACAAAAATTTCCTTCTGTTCAAATAATTAATGGAAAAAAAGTATTTGTATGTGTTTGTTGCCATAAATAATTTGAATCAAGACATAAACTTGGAGGACATAAGGCTAGGGCACATCCTTTAGCACCTTCATAAAGAACTTTAAGAGAAGACAAAAGAAAAAAAAGAATACTTTTATTAGAAAAAATGAACTCCTAATAAGATTAAATAGTCAACTTTATATAAAAAGAGGAGGATTCTTTAAATTTTTAAGGAAACTTTTTAGATGATAATTCGTTTATTTATCAATTTAAGAATAATTCCTAATTTTATAATAATCTTTATGATAATTTTATTTGTTAAGGTTCGTTTAAATTAGATTAATTTTATAGTAATTGATTTAGATTACTTTCTTTAAAATAAAATATAATTTTTTTTATATAAAGTAGATAATTTATAAAAAAAAAATTGAAAATTTTAATTTATTTTTTTATTAAAAATTTAAATTAATAATTTTAAAAAAATTTGAAATAAAATATAAATTAGAATAAAATTTTTGGAAGTTTTTTTTTTTTTATAAATATTAAAAAAATTAAAGTATTTATTTATTAAAAAACAAAAACAAAAATAAAAATAAAAAATTTAAATAGAAAATAAAATAAAATAACAAATGAACTCATTTCTTACTTTAAAAAAAAAATTCGAAAAACCTTATCAAAAAATTAGCAATAAAAATCAATCTGATGATAAAATAATGTCTGAATTTAATTATTTCCGTTAATAAATATCCAAAAGAGCTTCCAATTTTAAATCTTAGAAACAATTTGAATAATATTTATCAAAATCTATATAAAAATCTTCTATATAGTTAAAGTCAGAAGGTTAAAATCAAGAACTATCTTCTGCATATTTTTGCAATAGAATACACAGTTCACCACCAAAAAAATAATACTTGAAAACTTAATTAAGATTCAATACATATTAAGAAAATGAAATTTAACAAAAAGAAACTATTTTTTAATAAAATTAGAATTTGGATAGAATAATAAGTTATTCTCCTTCACGAGGTAATTCTTAAAAAAAGCTTTTTAAGGCAAATAGACTTTTAAACATTATAAGTTCATCAAACAAATAAAAAAAAAGTTAATTTTTTAGCATAAATGACACTTTTGAAAGACTTAATTCAAATTTTAAATAAATATAATTTAAGTAACAAAAAAATGAAAAAAAACATTTTTTATAAAAAAGAAATGATAAAACTAATGTTTAAAATAATGAATTAAATTAAAAAGTATAATAGGTTTATAATTATTTGTAGAATAATAGTGTAAATGAATTTAATTAGTTGAGCCAGAATCAAATTGAATAACTTATTAGATTTTCGTCTGTAATTATGAATAAAGTTAAGAATTCTATTTAATATACTAAATCATTATTTTGAATTTTATTTTATTTCCTATTTTTAAAAGAAAATTATATATTAATGTTTTTTTTGATATTAGAATTAATATTTTTTTTCTTAATTTATTTAAGAATTTATTTTATATATATAATTAATTTATTTATAAATAATATAAACGCATTTAAATATTATTAAATTTATATACATAAAAAATAAAAGTTAAAAAGTTAAACATATAAAATATTTAAAATATATTTATTATAAAATTAATTATTTGTAATAACTGAATAAGATATATTTATATGATAAAATAAATATAAAAATTCAAGATGTCAAAAAGCAGATTAGATTAAAATTTTTTTTTAAATTTATTCATTATATTAATTATAATTGTGTTAAAAAGATTAATAAGGTAAATCTTAAAAATTTTTTTTTATTATTAAAACTATATTATTGAACTTAATTAAAAATTATGAAAATAAAAGTTTATATAATTTTTGCTTTAACATTAAAAAAGATTCTTTATTATATAAATAAAATAAATAAATAAATAAATAAATAAATATAATAAATATATATAATATATATATATATATATGTATATTATTTATACTAATTATTTATATACATGATGAAATTTTAATTTTTTCTTTATATAATATTTACTAAAATTAAAACTCAGAATTTAGAATTAGACTAAATAAACAAAAGAAATAAAGAAATAAATTTACTATATATTAAAATATAAATTATCAATTTATTATTTTCTCCATAATAATTTCTTAATTATTCCTATGATAATTATCTAAATAAGTATTAACAGTATCAAACTTAATAATATAAGTACACAAAGCACTTAATCCACTAACAATACTAAATCCCAAAAATGGTCCTGCATTTCCGAATTTAAAAAAATAAAAGGAAATCCAAGGCATAAGAATACCTCCAATTCTGCTTACAGCACTATTTAATCCTAATCCAGTAGTTCTTAGTGCAGTAATATAGACTTCAGCTGTAAAAGGATAAATAATACAAAAAATATATGTTATACAAAATTTTACACATCCAATAAGCAAAAAAAATATAAAACCATCCGTTTATGTTAAAAATACTATAAAACAAAGTAAAGAGCAAAGTAAATAACTATAAAACATGCTTTTTTTCCTCCCATACTTAGGATTATCTATTGTAAAATAGGCAGCTAAATTTGAAGGAAATTCTACAAAAGAGGAAAGGAATATTCCCAAAAACTAAACAAAACTATAATCTAATTCATTTTTATCATTATATTAAATAAGAATAATAGGTAACATTAGCATAACACCATAATACACAAAACTAATAGAAAACCACATTACCATCAAGTTTAAAGTTATTGGTAAATCTTCGCCTTTAAAAAGTTCACGAATAGAACCTATTTTGTCTTTTTGGCGTTAATAACTAGCTTCTCCCCAAACTAAAAGTTGCTCTTTTTCAATATCTTTTAATTCAAGGAAATTAGCATTATTTAGATATCCCATATGATTTAATTCTTAGAATACTTAGTATAGTTTATTATTAGTACAGCATAAGCGGTATCTAGGACTTTCTATTAAGTATTTAAATGAGAAATATAAAGCGGCTAATGCTGGCATACTGGTACAAAATAATAAGGCGCGCCAGTTTCCTTCCTCAAGATTATCAAGAAATAAAATCGCAAGTAAAATTACTACTATTTCTCCAAGGGCAAATATATTATTTAAATGAATAAAAAATTTGCCTCTTTTTGACTCAGGAACTATTTCTGTTGTATAGCATGATGTTAAGGGGCTAACAAGACCATTACTAAATCCAAAAAGACATCTTAAAATTAAAAATTAGTAGTAGTTTTGACTAAATACAGAAAAAAAGCCGGCAATAAATTATAAAATGGAAGCCCATATCATAGTTCGTTTACGGCCATATTTATCTGACATTTTTCCACATGAAATTGCTAAATATTTATATAAATAAATTTTAAAATAATTTTTTTTACATCCGAGACACCAACCTAAAAATATTATTGAACCAGCAAAGGAAATTTAATTTTATGTTAATTACCATTCTCTTTGAATTATTGGTAATAAAAAAGATATTACTATTGCTTCAGCACCCTCATATAACCATGAAAAATAAAAACAACTTAATATTAGAAATTATGCTTTTCCGAATCCAATTCTTTTTTCTAATATATCTTCAAAAACACAATAATTTTTTCCTTTTATTAATACTTTATGCATATTTATATTTAAGTTATAAAGGTAATTTATTTTCTTAGTTTTATAATTATAGTGTAAATATAAAAAAAAAAAAATTTAAGTTTTATAAAAAAAATTAGATAAATAAATAAATAAATAAATAAATAAATAAAAATTATTAATAAATAAATAATTAAATTTTTCTTTTTTTTACTTTTTTAAAATATATATATATCAAAAATAAAAAAAAATATATATATTTTTTATCAACATCAAATTTCTAATTCTTTAATATATTATTTTAATAACTTATTATGATTTTTTTTTTAATTTAAATCTTTTAATCTTATATAAGAATGCTAAGTTTTTTTCAAAAAATTTTTTTTTTTTTATATTTACTAACATAATTTTTTTTTTTTTTTTTAAATATATTATATATATAAATTTATTAATTCTTAAATTATTTTTCTAATATTTAAATTATATTTTAAAAAATAATACAATAGTTAATTAATCAAATAATTATTTAATATAGAATTTATTTTGTAATATAAAAATTCAAATAAATTAATTATTTTTAACTTTTAAGTTTATTTATAGTGGATTTAAAGGTTCATATAAAAAATTATTTAACATTTTTAATTCATACCCTTGATCTCATTCAAAATCAAATGTTTTTAAAAAATAATATAATATTATTTTAGTTTCAATACTAGCCATATGTTATCCAATGCAATTTCTTTCGCCAGCACTAAAAGGAATATATGAATATGGAGGATATTTTATATCTTTTAACCATCTTTCAGGATCAAATACATGAGGATTTTCATAATATAATGGATTTCTATGGACACCAATAATTAAAGGCGTTACTAAAGTTCCTTTTTGGATAAAAATATCTTTTAAATAATTATCCTTTAGAGCTTCTCTATAAGCAAGTTAATTCGCTGATGTATAAAATCTTAAACATTCTTTTATTACAGCATTTAAATAAACTAGAGATTAAATTTATTCAAATTAAGCTTCGTTTATTTCTTTTATAAGTTTTTCTTTAACTTCTTTATATTAAGTTAAATAATAGATAATCATTCCAGTTAAATGACTTGTAGTTTCAATACCTGCCATATAAAATGCAATAAAATTTTAAGCAAGTTTTTCAATATCAATTTTTTCTAAGAGTTTATTTTTTATCAAATAATTTATAATATCTTCTTTTTCACTATTTTTTCCTTCTTGTTCATAAACTTCTTCTTCTTATATTCTTTCTTTTATTATTTATTAAAATAATTATTAAAATTCACTTATTTATTTATTAAAAATTCTATCATTTTTAGTTAAGCCTAGTTCAAAATATTTGATTCCAAAAAGTATGTATTATGAAGTTTTAATCTATTAGAAAAATTTAAGGAAAAAATATGTAATTGATTCTGACAAAGACATTCCATAAAAAATAAAATTATCTGCATTTTTACTTACCAAACTATGAATTATTACTTTAGAAGTTATTTTTGTAAACAAATAAATAACATCTTGTTTTTATAATTAATCATTTTAAATTATTTATTTAAAAAGGTTTATGGTCTACTCTTTCATATTCGGAACTCTTTTTTGAAGATAATCGAAATTGAAGTAACCAGTGTATATATACCTTTATTTTTCCATTGATCATATTTTGTAAATGCAAAAGATTAGAGTATTAATTTCAATGGCTCTAATTAAAATTTATATTTTTCATATGTTCTGGCCTATTAATATAGAATTCTTTAATTAACTCAATATCTAGTAATAATAAAACGACTCTATTACCTATGTTCTCAACTAAAAATTTCGGTTGATTTCCATTATCAAATGCATGTTGATGATTATATAAGCAATTTTTGTATTTTTTTCACGATTATTTTTAAAAGTAAAAAGTACCTAGCAAAGGAAAAAATTAACCCTTTCCATATCTTAAATATGATCTATATCTTTTATATGGTAATATTATTAAAGTAAATAATAGAAATATAAGAAATATAGCTATTAATAACAATATAAAAATAAAAATCATAAATATATATTATTAGAATATTTATTTTAATAAAAATAAATTATAAATATATTTATTAATTAAAATATATATAAAATAAAAAAATTATATTATAATATTAAAATAAATATTTTTTTTTATATTAAATATATATTAATATATTAAATTTATAATTTAATTATATTATATTTATATATTTATTTATTTAATTTTTTCTTATTTATATTTCTAATACAATAAATATTATAATTAAATAAATTTTGTTTCTAATTTAGAAGAATTATAAAAATAATTTTTATATATATAATATTTATAATATTTATTTTTATTTTCATTATATAATATATTTTTATAAAATAGTATAAATTTAATTTTTATTTAATAAAAATATTTTTTATATTTTATATTATTTTATTTTAACATATTAATTTAGATATTTATTAATTTTTTTGATTTTTTAATAAAAGAATAAAATTTTAAATAAAAATTTTTTAATAAATTTTTTATTTTTAAAATATATTTTTTTTAAAAACTGATGCTTTAATGAAGATTGAAAAATAAATATGTTCCAATTTAATTTTATTTACGGTAAAATTTATTATATTTATTTTTATTAATAAATTAGAAAACTTTATTTTAAGATATATATATTGTATTTTTATTTATATTTCTATTAAATTATTTTCAAAGAAATATAAAATTATAATTATTATTATTGTAATTATTAAAAAAAAAATATATATATTCATAATTTTTAAAATTAAAAATTTATGGATAAAATAAATATATTTATTTTTTTATATTATTAAATATAACATAAAAAAATAGTTAATATTTCAAAGGAAAAAATTTAATATCAAATAAAAAATATAATAAATTATAAATTTATTAAATTAAAGTAAAAAATTTTAATTATATGATCAAAATTTTTTAAAAAATAAATAATTTAATTAACAAAATATATATTTTTTTTTAAAAAAAAAATTATGTATATAATATTATTAATTAATTTTTTATATATATAGTATAAAATAATATAATTTTCTATTAATTAATTTTTTATATTTATAGTATAAAATAATATAATTTTCTATTTATATAATAATTGCATCCACCATCCAAAAATTATCTTGCAATATTTATTATCTTTAAATAATAAAATAAATTAAAATTAATTTTATTTTTATGGGAATAGAATATACATATAACTATATGAAATTATCTTTATATTTAGTCAAACTATTATCATTTTCAGAAGAATTAATTTCATTAAAAATCTTATTATTTTTACAAAATTAAAATAAAAAAAATAAAAATTTATATATATAAATATTTTATAATTTTTAAAAAAAATAATTATAAAAATTAATCTATAATAAATTTTAAAATAAGCAAAGAAAATAGATAGAAAATAAATATATTATAAAATTAAAAAAAATATTATTTTTAATATGTATATAATAATAATTAGATTATATTATTTTATCTTAAAAAATATTTTATTATATTTATTAAAAATCTATAACATTTTATTTTAAAATATAATAAAAATTATATATATTATTTTAATATTTTATTTAAATAATTAATAAAAATATATTAAAATAAATTAATAAAATATAATAATATTTTATATATAAAATTTGTTATTAATGTTGTAATCATCAAAATATTTTAATTAAACATTATATTGCAATGTATACGATTTTTTTTTAAAAGAAAGATATAAATTGATTAATTATTAATTTAATTTTATCAAATTTGCAAAA